GTTTGTTAACAACAGATAAACATCTAATAATGCTAAAATGTCTGGTACAACTGTGACATGTTAAAAAATGTAACACGTTTTGAAACAATATATCCCTGTTCAATAATGTAACAATGTCTGGTACAACCGTGACAATGTATAATAATATAACCATGTCTGGTACAACCGGGACAATGTTAATTATGTTAATATATAACGTGTAACAATGTCTGGTACAAACGTGCCAATGTTAGAACTGTACACGTTTTGTAAAAATATATACAATGTTCAACAATGTCTGGTACAACCGTGACAATGTTGAAAACTGTAACACGTTTTGTGACAAAAGATACAATATATTTTAATAATGCAAGAATGTCTGGTGCAACAGTGAAAATTAGAAAAAATGTAACACGTTTGGTAACAACAGATACAATATCTTATAATGTAAAAATGTCTGGTACAACTGTGACAATTTTAAAAAATGTAACACGTTTTTAAACAATATATACCTTGTTCAATAATGTAACAATGTCTGGTACAACCGTGACAATGTATAATAATGTAACAATGTCTGGTACAACCGGGACAATGTATAATAGTGTAACAATGTCTGGTACAACCGGGACAATGTATAACAGTGTAACAATGTCTGGTAGAACCGGGACAATGTATAACAGTGTAACAATGTCTGGTAGAACCGGGACAATGTATAACAGTGTAACAATGTCTGGTACAACCGTGACAATGTATAACAGTGTAACAATGTCTGGTACAACCGTGACAATGTATAACAGTGTAACAATGTCTGGTACAACCGGGACAATGTATAACAGTGTAACAATGTCTGGTACAACCGGGACAATGTATAACAGTGTTACAATGTCTGGTACAACCGTGACAATGTATAACAGTGTAACAATGTCTGGTACAACCGGGACAATGTATAACAGTGTTACAATGTCTGGTACAACCGTGACAATGTATAACAGTGTAACAATGTCTGGTACAACCGGGACAATGTATAACAGTGTAACAATGTCTGGTAGAACTAGGACAATATATAACAATATAACAATGTCTGGTAGAACCGGGACAATGTATAACAGTGTAACAATGTCTGGTACAACCGGGACAATATATAACAGTGTAACAATGTCTGGTACAACCAGGACAATGTATAACAGTGTAACAATGTCTCGTACAACCGGGACAATGTATAACAGTGTAACAATGTCTGGTTCAACCGGGACAATGTATAACAGTGTAACAATGTCTGGTACAACCGTGACAATGTATAACAGTGTAACAATGTCTGGTACAACCGGGACAATGTGTAACAGTGTAACAATGTCTGGTACAACCGGGACAATGTATTACAGTGTAACAATGTCTGGTACAACCGTGACAATGTATAACAGTGTAACAATGTCTGGTACAACCGGGACAATGTATAACAGTGTAACAATGTCTGGTACAACCGGGACAATGTATAACAGTGTTACAATGTCTGGTACAACCGTGACAATGTATAACAGTGTAACAATGTCTGGTACAACCGGGACAATGTATAACAGTGTAACAATGTCTGGTACAACCGGGACAATGTATAACAGTGTAACAATGTCTGGTACAACCGTGACAATGTATAACAGTGTAACAATGTCTGGTACAACCGGGACAATGTATAACAGTGTTACAATGTCTGGTACAACCGTGACAATGTATAACAGTGTAACAATGTCTGGTACAACCGGGACAATGTATAACAGTGTAACAATGTCTGGTACAACCGTGACAATGTATAACAGTGTAACAATGTCTGGTACAACCGGGACAATGTATAACAGTGTAACAATGTCTGGTACAACCGTGACAATGTATAACAGTGTAACAATGTCTGGTACAACCGGGACAATGTATAACAGTGTAACAATGTCTGGTACAACCGGGACAATGTATAACAGTGTTGCAATGTCTGGTACAACCGTGACAATGTATAACAGTGTAACAATGTCTGGTACAACCGGGACAATGTATAACAGTGTAACAATGTCTGGTACAACCGTGACAATGAATAACAGTGTAACAATGTCTGGTACAACCGGGACAATGTATAACAGTGTAACAATGTCTGGTACAACCGGGACAATGTATAACAGTGTTACAATGTCTGGTACAACCGTGACAATGTATAACAGTGTAACAATGTCTGGTACAACCGGGACAATGTATAACAGTGTAACAATGTCTGGTACAACCGGGACAATGTATAACAGTGTAACAATGTCTGGTACAACCGTGACAATGTATAACAGTGTAACAATGTCTGGTACAACCGGGACAATGTATAACAGTGTTACAAAGTCTGGTACAACTGTGACAATGTATAACAGTGTAACAATGTCTGGTACAACCGGGACAATGTATAACAGTGTAACAATGTCTGGTACAACCGTGACAATGTATAACAGTGTAACAATGTCTGGTACAACCGGGACAATGTATAACAGTGTAACAATGTCTGGTACAACCGTGACAATGTATAACAGTGTAACAATGTCTGGTACAACCGGGACAATGTATAACAGTGTAACAATGTCTGGTAGAACCGGGACAATGTATAACAGTGTAACAATGTCTGGTACAACTGTGACAATGTATAACAGTGTAACAATGTCTGGTACAACCGTGACAATGTATAACAGTGTAACAATGTCTGGTACAACCGTGACAATGTATAACAGTGTAACAATGTCTGGTACAACCGGGACAATGTATAACAGTGTAACAATGTCTGGTAGAACCGGGACAATGTATAACAGTGTAACAATGTCTGGTACAACCGGGACAATGTATAACAGTGTAACAATGTCTGGTACAACCGGGACAATGTATAACAGTGTAACAATGTCTGGTACAACCGGGACAATGTATAACAGTGTAACAATGTCTGGTAGAACCGTGACAATGTATAACAGTGTAACAATGTCTGGTACAACCGTGACAATGTATAACAGTGTAACAATGTCTGGTACAACCGTGACAATGTATAACAGTGTAACAATGTCTGGTACAACCGGGACAATGTATAACAGTGTAACAATGTCTGGTACAACCGGGACAATGTATAACAGTGTAACAATGTCGTGTAGAACCGGGACAATGTATAACAGTGTAACAATGTCTGGTACAACCGGGACAATGTATAACAGTGTAACAATGTCTGGTACAACTGGGACAATGTATAGCAGTGTAACAATGTCTGGTACAACCGGGACAATGTATAACAGTGTAACAATGTCTGGTAGAACCGTGACAATGTATAACAGTGTAACAATGTCTGGTACAACCGGGACAATGTATAACAGTGTAACAATGTCTGGTACAACCGTGACAATGTATAACAGTGTAACAATGTCTGGTACAACCGGCACAATGTATAACAGTGTAACAATGTCTGGTACAACCGGGACAATGTATAACAGTGTAACAATGTCTGGTAGAACCGGGACAATGTATAACAGTGTAACAATGTCTGGTACAACCGGGACAATGTATAACAGTGTAACAATGTCTAGTAGAAGCAGGACAATATATAACAATATAACAATGTCTGCTACAACCGGGACAATATATAACAGTGTAACAATGTCTGGTACAACCGTGACAATGTATAACAGTGTAACAATGTCTGGTACAACCGGGACAATGTATAACAGTGTAACAATGTCTGGTAGAACTAGGACAATATATAACAATATAACAATGTCTGGTACAACCGGGACAATGTATAACAGTGTAACAATGTCTGGTACAACCGGAACAATGTATAACAGTGTAACAATGTCTGGTACAACCGGGACAATGTATAACTATATAACAATGTCTGGTATAACCGTAGTCCAACAACATTAGACCTAGCCTGGGCCTCGTTTCTTATCTGACATGTCTTATGGCCCCGGCTAGGTCTAACCTCCATGATCATTTTGCCCTTGTTGCGCGTTCCGCAGGTTTCGACCAGCGGAACTAATTAACACTGAAAACATGGTGATATTACATAAAGAATGTGATTCAAGCATGCATACATACCTTATGAATACATACACACCATCCCGTATCCCCCTTAGACCCTATTGATGCATAATTACGAAAATATTGGAGACAGGTTTGGAATTTTACGAAAATGTCGGTCAGCTCCGGTAACATCGAAATTGCAAATCGTTTCAGGAATTGACCGTCATTGCGACACTGCATCAACGAACAGTAGGTTTGCAATTAATAACTAATTTGCGTGTATACAAGCGCTACATAAATCAATCAAAGATACCTGTTATCCTCAAAATTGATCTTTATATCCCGAGTAATCGCGTGATAATTATCAATCTATTTGACAACAATTTCGTTTCAATAGTTTAAATTTTAACCCGGGACGAACAGACACAATGACGGACATGCGGAATGTCATTTTAGAGATTGGTAAGTTTAACCTCATTTTACTTGTATAAATGACCATTTAATACAATAATATTGTGTTGAATCGCTTGATGTTATGTGTTTTTATATTGTTGTCAATTAATAAGTAATTTCATGCGCGTTTAATTAATAACTGATAGTGAGAATTTGCAACAAATGAAAGCATACCACGGAAGTTAAACCCAATATCACGGCAACAAGAACATTCAGATTAATAAATGAAAGCCGTGGTATTGGGTTTAACTTGTTGAACTAGTATAACCGGGACAATGTTAATTATGTTAATATATAACGTGCCACGGTTGCGGCAGATTCCTGCAGTTTTCGCTAACATTGCCACGGTTGTGCCAGAAAAAAACCTGCATTTGAGTGTGTCTCGCGCTAGCCTGACTCGCCGACGCCCGGTACATTTTTCTTTACAAATTTCACTCAATTGAAAAAAACTCAATTAATAAACGAAAAATTCCTGAGATATTTGGATATGACAAAGATATTATGTTTGGTATTACGTATGATCGATTTGACTGCTATTGACTTTCATTTACCTGTTCATTTCAGCCTGCATTTCCCGAAAACGTTGATCGTCGTGAGCCGCCATCTTTCTTTTTACAGATGCTTGCTGGGAAAAACCAGCTCAAGTTATTGAATATTTTCTTGATGTGAACTTAAATTGAGCATTATTTTGGATTGAATAGTCAAATGAAACTATAAGTAAAAAACATCAATCTTGATATCTGATAATTATGAAATATTCTCTCATAAAATAAATTCTCACGGGAACGTTGTTTGGCAAAATGTCGTCCATCCTCGGAACTTTTTTAAGAAAGTTGCCGCATTCGTCACCTTCCCTGCTTCAAACGCAGTTATTGGGTAGATCTGTGGTAGTTACAGCTTCCAGGTAAACACAAGCTTTACATTCAAACTAAAATTTAGTTGAACCAACGCATAGATGTTCTATTATCTGTACTTTAGTTCAAGGGCAAATTTTGTAAATTGATTTCTCACTCACTGCTCAGAAAAATTATGAAAACAGAAATTTTCTGTTTTCATAATTTTTCAGTTTCAACTCTCATGATCATAAACTAGATCTAGAATCTAGCCAAGATGGGAAACACTAAAACACTGGCTGCTATCAAAAGATTTGTCTGCTGTGACGGAGCATTTTTATAAAAACCACAGGGGCTTGTCTGGAGGGTCGGGCAAGCCCTCCAATAATGGTGTACCGTTATAAAGAGTTTAAGGTAACTTATAACTTAATCAAAAAATCCAAGATGGCCGAAACCAGGAAGCACATGGCATTTGAGTATAATCTCTCAATTTTTTAGTTCCAATTATCATTTATATAACCAGGGTCACTGTGGTAATGCAAATAGAAACAGTAAACATTTTGGAATGGGAATTTGAGTCCTCTGAAAATGTGACAGAAAAATTGACAAAAAGAGTAGCACGGCAAAGGTCCCTGAACATTTTTTTTTCTAATTTCTCTGAAACATCCCTTTAATATAGCCCAAAATGGAAGGAGCTTTAGAATTTTGAAATCTCTCATACAAATTAAAAAAAATAGAAAAAAACAATTTGAGAAGTGTACTTTTTTCCTTATTTTGATCCCAATTTTTTTATCGGGTAATTTTTCAAATTTCCGTTGCTCCTTCGTTTTTGATATATGTTTGAAGTATATTTTCTAGGGGTGGGACGGATAACCGAAATACCGAAAAACCGCGGTTCATAGCCTTCGGATCGGTTTTCGGATCACGGCCCTACTTTCGGATCAGCTTTTCGGATCGTTTTCGGATTAATATTTCATTGGTCAAGTATCAATAAAACAGTTAAAAACACTGTTTTACAGCAACATTTTTGATATTCCTAGTCCCTACCTTGTCTGTCTTGTCTGTTGCTAGCTCACTCGTTTACTAGATTCGTTTCGTATCCGCGTATTCGTATCCCTCGGTAATCAATCATGTGGTCCCTATTACTATATTCTTTAGTCGTGTATTCTAAATAATATGTATTGTTCATGAAATACTATAACATAAAATTCCATCTATAAAATATTGTTATAACGTGGCATAATTGATACAAAGATTTGCGCAAATAGGTTCGATATAGGGTATTATTTTGTGCGCACCCACAATACATTCAAATATGGCGTCTGGATCTCAAATTCCCGTTTTCCCAAAAGAAATGAAGATTATAAATTAGTTATTATATTGGTTGTATTAAAAGAAAGTGATAGTCAGCAGTGAAGTCAGAGACAAAGCAGCTAATCATGTCAATCAATACAAATCCTTAAAATGAATGAACCGAACCGAAAAAACCGAACCGACGGCTGATGATCCGAAAAACCGAACCGAACCGAACCGAAACGAACCGTCCCATCCCTAATATTTTCTGAAATGTTCAGATATTTTGAATCAGCAGTTTTTCACGGGCTACTCCTAAAAAAAAATATTCTCAAATTCTTTAAACGACACTTTTTTTCTCAAACTAAAGTTTTTTGTTGTTATGTCACCACCAAAAGTGGTGACATATTGTTATGGTCTCCGTTTTTTTTGCGACGGCGTCCGGCGGTTGGTGGTTGGCGTCCGGCGGTTGGCGTCCGGCGTCTGTAACAATTTCTTACAACTTCCTATAACATAACAAATACTGTTTAGATTGACTTCAATTTTTTTCTAAATCATCTACATGTTCTCAGAAGTTCAAATCTGACTTTAGATTTGACATTTGACCTTCAATGACCTTCTCAAGGTCAAAAAGGTCTTTTTTCAACTTGCTTCACATTGACTAAATTTTTTTTCAAAATCATCTACATGTTCTCAGAAATTCAAATCTCACTTTAGATTTGACTTTAGATTTGACATTTGACCTTCAAATCTGACTTTAGATTTGACATTTGACCTTCAATGACCTTCTCAAGGTCAAAAAGGTCTGTTTTCAACTTGCTTCAAATTGACTAAATTTTTTTTTCAAAATCATCTACGTGTTCTCAGAAATTCAAATCTGACTTAAGATTTGACATTTGACCTTCAATGACCTTCTCAAGGTCAAAAAGGTCTGTTTTCAACTTGCTTCAAATTGACTAAAAAAAATTTTCAAAATCATCTACGTGTTCTCAGAAATTCAAATCTGACTTTAGATTTGACTTAAGATTTGACATTTGACCTTCAATGACCTTTTCAAAGTCAAAAAAGGTCAAAAAGGTCTTTTTTCAACTTGCTTCAAATTGACTAGATTTTTTTTTCAAAATCATCTACATGTTATCAGAAATTCAAATCTGACTTTAGATTTGACATTTGACCTTCAATGACCTTCTCAATGTCAAAAAAGGTCAAAAAGGTATTTTTTTCATCTTGCTTCAAATTGACTAAATTTTTTTTTCAAAATCATCTACATGTTCTCAGAAATTCAAATATGACTTAAGATTTGACTTAAGATTTGACATTTGACCGTCAATGACCTTCTCAAGGTCAAAAAAGGTCAAAAAGGTCTTTTTTCAACTTGCTTCAAATTGACTAATTTTTTTTTTCAAAATCATCTACATGTTCTCAGAAATTCAAATCTGACTTTAGATTTGACATTTCACCTTTAATGACCCCTTCTCAAGGTCAAAAAAGGTCAAAAAGGTCTGTTTTCAACTTGCTTCAAATTGACCAAATTTTTTTTCCAAAATCATCTACATCTTTTCAGAAGTTCAAATTTGACTTTACAAGTTCTCAGAAGTTCAAATCTGACTTTAGATTTGACCTTTGACCTTCAAGGTCAAAAAGGTCTTTTTTCAACTTGCTTCAAATTTACTTAATTTTTTTTTCAAAATCATCTACATGTTCTCAGAAGTTCAAATCTGACTTTAGATTTGACATTTGACCTTCAATGACCTTTTCAAGGTCAAAAAGGTCTTTTTTCAACTTGCTTCAAATTTACTTAATTTTTTTTTCAAAATCTACATGTTCTCAGAAGTTCAAATCTGACTTTACATTTGACATTTGACCTTCAATGACCTTCTCAATGTCAAAAAAAGTCAGAGAGGTATTTTTTCAACTTGCTTTAAATTGACCAAATTGTTTTAGGTGGTGACATTTTGTCATGTTAATGCCTTGTTCTTTGATGTCTTTGTAATGATTACAGTGCACAAGCATATGTGAAATAATAAAAACGACTTCTCAGGAAGAGTTTGAAAATTTCAAGATTGTATGTCGAAGTTAAGTTCTTGCCTTTTTAACACTGTTACAAGGAGTATAACATGTTTTTATCACAGGGGCTTGTCTCGAGGGTCAGGAAAGCCCTCCGATGAGTGTGTACTGCTTATTAAGAGTATAAGGGAGGTCGATTTTGATGCTTCCTGAAATTTGTAGAAAATGATTGTTAGATATATCCAGTAAAAATATATGGAATCCTTTCAACAATCGACATGCTGATTCAAACAACACTACAGAGTAAAGTTACCCAAACTGGTAGCAATCCATCCACATGTTGCTGAGTAATCTGAAGAATATGTAAAGAAGTGCAGGGTCTGACCTTAACTTTTTTTACCAGTAGCAAGGATTTGCTACCTTCTACCAAAACATTGAAAACAAGGAGCAAATTCCCATATTCAGGTAGCAACAAAAATGCTCCAAGAAAACATTATCAGGTAGCAAATTGCTCCTCAAATTCTATTACAAGTAGCAAAAGTTAATGTATATAATTCCATTTTGTAGCCAATGGAGGGTCATATATTTACTTGAAAACACCTATTTTAACTTGCTTATTTGAACTGAAGAACTGTAATATGTTGTGTTTGTTTTCAGGACTAATATCTGTAATAATCATGTCTTATAACGAATCCCCGGTTATTTCTCGCCTTTTTGCACTGAACGAAACGACCATTTTTATGTTCAAGAGTCGTCTGAGAATAATTTGTGGTTTTTCAGACCAAAATCCGCACGTTTTCATTGAAAATAGGAGAATGAATCATCTAATCCTAATAAAGGTAGTATACTGTATAACATGTATTAAATCTGGGTGCTTTATTTTCCGAATTGGATTAAAATTGTTATTGCCGAATAAAAGTTTGCTGACCTGACACCCCTAAATGTAAAGCCAAATAAAACATTGCTAAGCTGACACCCCTAATATAATTTTGATTTACAACTGAATTTTAATCACCTTCATTTGACTGACTCAGAAAACCTGACATCCTGACATTATGAGTGACAATTTGAGTGATTTATTCACATAATACCCGCATTCGATAGACTCAGGACAATTAATACCAGGATTAAAAACTTTTAATATCGAGATTAAAAACTTTTAATCCTGGGATTTCCAAAGCACTTGGATACGATTATATCTTCTGACATTTTAACTTTTTAACATGACAATCCTTTTAATATTTTGTAGAATTTACTGCATGTATTTTAAGTGCAGCATTTTTATTATTAACTTTTTATTGTAATTGTAATGCTGGGGAATAAAGCTTCGATTTTATCGTATTTTATTTATGATTTTTGTTAAAGTATAGTAAGTTTATACTCGTTAGAAAATTACCCTATTACAGTAAGTTGACACACGTTAGACAACTACCATATTATCGCCCACTAAGATCGATCTTCAATTACTTAATTATATTTCCGAATTTTATGTTGCCGTTTCTGTTTTACATTCGGCAATCTTCAACTTTATATCCACGGCAATATTTCATGTTATACAGAAACCAATTGGGGGAAACAAATTTTAGTGTATTCATCGATGAAACATGTTATTTCGTGCAGGCAGCATTTTTTCGGCAAGAAATTCTGTTTCGCTAAAGCGAGTAAAGTCCAATCAGTGATGTTGTCTTATTTTGTTTCATTTTGGGATCCGCATCAACCAATCAGCGTTGAGGTTGTTTATCGCTATCGGAAACGCGATGAAAAAATGAAAAAATACCGGGAGTGGTAAGTTCCATTGATTCTATGCAATAGAAGGGTTGAAATACATGAGATTCATTGCGTAAATTTGAGGTAGCAGGCATTTGCTCCCGGCCACGAAGTTTTTGAAGCAAAATGTGAAATCAGGTAGCAGGATAGCCTATTACGACTGCTATACGCAAAAAGATGCATGAAATTATCGTTTCGAAACTGAAAGTTGAAAAATGGCCGAATATCCCTTGTTCTATGCGCATGCGCAAAAATGAAAGTACTTCATTTCCAAGATTCAGAACGATTCAAATTACTTTTGGCGGTTGGTTCGGTATCAGATGAAAGATTATTGCTAAGGAACGGAAAACATATTTCGAAGATGAGAGTTATTTGTTTTATCACTAAAGGAAAATATTCCCGCAATATAAGGTGCATCATGGGAGGGGACTGCTGTGAAATAATGAGATCTATCTAGAAAAATATGTAGTTATTGCGCATGCGTTCATATAATATGAACTAATCAAATTCCTGGATTGAACGCAATTGCGCATGGAACAAGGGATAGTCGCCATTTTTTCAACTTTCAGTTTCGAAACGATAATTTAATGCAGCTTTTTGTGTATAGCAGTCATTATAGGCTGTCCTTCGTTAAAAATAATATACAGGAATGAACCTAAGGAACTAAAGAACTCTAGGAACTACCGATTTTTAACAGTGGACGTGTCTTGAGGAAGAAATCGACTCTGGAGCTAATAATTTTGAGGTAAAAATTGTCGGTTTCATCTTTTTTATCACTTCTTTACATATTCTTCAGATTTTCAGCAACACGTGGATGGATTGCTACCATTTTGGGTAACTTTACTCTGTAGTATTGTTTGAATCAGCATGTCGATTGTTGAAAGGATTCCATATATTTTTACTGGATATATCTAACAATCATTTTCTACAAATTTCAGGAAGCATCAAAATCGACCTCCCTTATACTCTTAATAAGCAGTACACACTCATCGGGGGGCTTGCCCGACCCTCGAGACAAGCCCCTGTGATAAAAACATAATACTCCTTGTAACAGTGTTAAAAAGGCAAGAACTTAACTTCGACATATAAGTGTTACCTGATGAATGGGACCCTCATGTGCCTTCCAAATGGTAGTAAATGAACTCTTATGTATCTACATTAGCCTATCTTTCCGTCCGACCAACAATAAGTACAGTTATACAAGAAATGTAATCGAACTGAAAAAATTCCCAAAAATGTTCCGAGTGCCTTGTCATTTTACGGAAATTATGATACGTTATATTACCGAACATGTGTGAAAATGGAATGTTTGTTCGTTCATTTTATGAGAGCTAAATAAAATGCGAACATCTGGGCTCAAAAACTTATTGTTGATTGGACGGAAAGTTAAGCTGATGTAGTTACATTGGAGTTCATTTACTACCATTTGGAAAGCACTTGAGGGTCTCATTCATCAGGTAACACTTATATATTGAAGTTAAGTTCTTGCCTTTTTAACACTGTAACAAGCAGTAGACCTCTGTTTGAAGTCCCATAACGCTAGGAGGAAAAGCTATTGAAAATGGCGTCGGAGTATCAAATTCTGCGTAATTATCCAATGTACCAAAACCAATGCACATAAGGAAAAAAGTCATTAGCATAGCTTTGGTCAACAGAATTGAATGCAGGTTTTAGATACGTTGATTTAAATTTCCCTTGGGATTCATTTTCCGATATTGGCAATCAATTTCAATATCGGTACTCAAAAAACCTTAGCTATGCAATATCAACAACAATATACCTCCTACCGCTATTATTAACCGTCATCATCCTTTTTACTTTCAGTTTACACTCGTCATCTTTATTATCCCATCGAACGAAGTTCGGAGGGCTATAGGGAACGCCTCCGTCCGTCCGTCTGTCCGTCCGTCCGTCCATCCGTACGTACGTACGTACGTACGTCCGTCCGTCCGTCCGGGCAATAACTCAAATACCGTTGGCCCGATTTTGTTCATATTTTGTACACATATACCCTATGGGGGTAGAAGTTCTGCTCGAAAGCCAATTTTCAAAATGGCCGCTCATTTCAAAATGGCGGCCATTTTAGTGCCGAATTTACAGTAATTTAGGTGCAATATGTAAAACTGTAATAGCAATATGTTTTAGATGTAAAAAAATTATATAGGACATTAATAAAGCTGGAAATGTAGATATTAAAGAAGCACATGGCAGCCATCTTGAAAAATGGCGGCCTTTACTCGTTATTTTACGATTTTTGCTGTAACTCGAAAAGTAGTGGAGCGATTTTGTTCATATTTGGTATGTGAATACTGTAAACATTGCACACTGTCTAAAGACACTTTTGGTATAAGGTGGCCATTTTAAAAAATGGCTGCCATTTTGAAAAATAGCCGCCGTTTTAACCTATTTTACTATAACTCGAAAAGTAGTGAAGCGATTTTGTTCATATTTGGTATGTGAATACTATAAGGATGGCACACTGTCTAATGACAATTTTGGTAGAAGGCGGCCATTTTTCAAAATGGCTGCCATTTTAACGTATTTTACTATAACTCGAAAAGTAGTGGAGCGATTTTGTTCATATTTGGTATGTGAATACTGTAAACATTGCACACTGTCTAAAGACACTTTTGGTATAAGGTGGCCATTTTGAAAAAAAATTTGAAAAATGGCCGCCATTTTCATGTATTTTATAATAATTCGAAAAGTAGCTAAGCGATTTTGTTCATATTTGGTATGTGAATACTGTAAGCATGGCACACTGTCTAATGACACTTATGGTAGAAGGCGGCCATTTTGAAAAATGGCCGCCATTTTAACGTATTTTACTATAACTCGAAAAGTAGTGGAGCGATTTTGTTCATATTTGGTATGTGAATACTATAAGTATGGCAAATGGTCTAATGACACTTTTGGTAGAAGGTGGCCATTTTGAAAAATGCCTGCCATTTTTGCTATATACTTTTTTTGCAAAAATGCCATCCATGGCTGTTCGATGGGATTCGCTATGCTTTGGTGTTGCCGTTGTTCTGGTTTTAATCACCAACCAGCCGTAAAGCTCAGTGAATGTCAATGTTTATTCCATAATATGATAGAATGAGAGAAAAACAGTTTCCATCAGATTTGAAAATATGAGATGAAGATATCCTTTCAGAAAAGTTATTATTAAAAAGTTTTATGGAAAACTTGTTTATATATTTACAGAGGAGCTAAACAATGGAAGCCTGATGCGGACTATATGAAGCAGTTTGAGGGGGCTGTCATGTTCCCAGATGAAGTGACATCTAAATGGAAACCAAATGCACTAAATGGTATGAAATGAATTTCATCTACATATGTACTCGTATAATACTGCATAGTCATGTATTAAGACCCCCTCGACTATTTTATTATCATACACACATTTGTAGCTTCTTGATATAAACCAGAGGCTTGATACAAGACTATATATTGCATATTTATAAATTATATATTTAAAATATAATGTCCTGTTTCTCGAAAACATTCACAGACTATCTTTATAATCCTAAAAAATTCTGTATTCTGTTTTGTAGTGAATGCTCTCCAAAGGGAAAAGAAAGTCCAGAACATCACACTAAACTTTGGACCTCAGCATCCTGCTGCTCATGGTGTACTAAGGCTTGTTCTTACCCTAGATGGAGAGGTAAGAAGCTGTTATTAAGAAATACTTGCCACAACTGCTATTTAGAATTACTGGCAGCAGCTATAATTAAGAAATACTGGCCACAGCTGCTATTTAGAATTACTGGCAGCAGCTGTGATTAACAAATACTGGCCACAACCGCTATTTAGAATTACTGGCAGCAGCTATAATTAAGAAATACTTGCCACAACTGCTATTAAGAATTACTGGCAACAGCTACAATTAACAAATACTGGCCACAACCGCTATTTAGAATTACTGGCAGCAGCTATAATTAAGAAATACTTGCCACAACTGCTATTAAGAATTACTGGCAACAGCTACAATTAAGAAATACTGGCCACAACTGCTATTTAGAATTACTGGCAGCAGCTATAATTAAGAAATACTTGCCACAACTGCTATTTAGAATTACTGGCAGCAGCTATAATTAAGAAATACTTGCCACAACTGCTATTTAGAATTACTGGCAGCAGCTATAATTAAGAAATACTTGCCACAACTGCTATTTAGAATTACTGGCAGCAGCTATAATTAAGAAATACTTGCCACAACTGCTATTTAGAATTACTGGCAGCAGCTATAATTAAGAAATACTTGCCACAACTGCTATTTAGAATTACTGGCAGCAGCTATAATTAAGAAATACTTGCCACAACTGCTATTTAGAATTACTGGCAGCAGCTATAATTAAGAAATACTTGCCACAACTGCTATTTAGAATTACTGGCAGCAGCTATAATTAAGAATTACTTGCCACAACTGCTATTTAGAATTACTGGCAGCAGCTATAATTAAGAAATACTTGCCACAACTGCTATTTAGAATTACTGGCAGCAGCTATAATTAAGAAATACTTGCCACAACTGCTATTTAGAATTACTGGCAGCAGCTATAATTAAGAAATACTTGCCACAACTGCTATTTAGAATTACTGGCAGCAGCTATAATTAAGAATTACTTGCCACAACTGCTATTTAGAATTACTGGCAGCAGCTATAATTAAGAAATACTTGCCACAACTGCTATTTAGAATTACTGGCAGCAGCTATAATTAAGAAATACTTGCCACAACTGCTATTTAGAATTACTGGCAGCAGCTATAATTAAGAAATACTTGCCACAACTGCTATTTAGAATTACTGGCAGCAGCTATAATTAAGAATTACTTGCCACAACTGCTATTTAGAATTACTGGCAGCAGCTATAATTAAGAATTACTGGCAACCGCTTTTATTTAGAAATTCTAGCAGCAACTGTTATTATTTGGATGTAAGATATAGCAAATAGGTGGCACTTGAACAGCATATCTTAACCCAACTTAATATCTGTGTTTTGACTGAAAATATTCAACAAGTTATTTTTACTTCTTTTAGACAGTGGTGAGGGCTGATCCTCACATTGGTCTGCTACACAGGGCGACAGAGAAGCTTATAGAATATAAGACTTACCTTCAGGTATATATTGAATTTTTTATAAATAATTATAATTACAATTTTGATATAAAATACATTTTACATTGTAAGGGAGGGCCTAGGCTCTAAGAGCATCATTCGACCCCTTGTTTGTGATGTGTAATAAATATTTCTTAACTTAACACTTAGAAATACAGATTCTTAGAAGTTATACATGCAGTCGTAATAGTTCATAAATACATGTAAATGGATATCCGAAAAATGTAATTTCTATGCCAGTTCCTCAGTCTGTTTGTCTATGTTTTAATTATTTTTCAGGCATTACCATATTTCGACCGCCTTGACTATGTGTCTATGATGTGTAATGAACAGTGTTACTCATTAGCTGTGGAGAAACTCCTCAATATTGAAGTCCCAGAAAGAGCAAAGTGGATTAGAAGTAAGAATAATGGAATATGTAAAGAGTTTTGTGTTGACATAAAAGACAAAACGTTTCTGAAGAATCACATAAATATGCATAAGAAAAAAGTAATTTCAAACTGGCATTATGTTATTTTCAAGATATTCTGCTAAATACAAAAATAATGTTTTCTCCCAGTTGATTACTTTTGAGTGTAAGTCATGCTTGTAATTGTCAGATGAAGTAGAAAAGAGAGAATTAAACGAGAAATGAACTTCTATTTATACACATGCTTCAAGCTCAAATCTTCATATGGTTTGTGTTTTAAAATTGGTTAGTTATTGACTAACCAAAGACAAAAACAATTTAGTCCATATTGTACTTTGAGTTCTGGTGACAAGGGAGTCTCAATGTATATCAAAAGGTGCATGAGATTGGAAAACAAGTTCATATTGATTGTTGCAGTCACCTTAAAGAGGTCTTCACAAACTCAGACTTTACTGTAATAATTTTATAATTTTAGCCCTATTTGGTGAGCTGACCAGGATTGAGAACCATATTATGGGCATTGGGACCCATGCTCTTGACGTTGGGGCCATGACACCATTCTTCTGGCTCTTTGAGGAGAGGGAAAAGGTAAAGACTAAAGACTTACTGATGTTCAGTCATTAAATTCATGAAAAAAATATCTTCCAAAAGATTTCCAAATTTTCAAGTAATTCTAATCGAAATAGAAAGTGAAACTTGAATTAAATGTGTAATCCATATTCTTCATTTCAAAATGGCTTTTTATCATTACTTGTGCAGGCTAGCTAATGCTTGTCTATTAACTTCATGCTATTGCATGCAGTTCTATTTCAAATTTATACTTCATATTTTTGTTTTGAAATTCTTAACATTATTAAAGGAAATTGTATTTATTGATTTATTATAGTATTCTTTTTTCTATTAAAATTGTGTTTGTAAATTCTGAATTCAAATGCAAATTAATCATTGCTTGCTACGGTGTATATTTATGTGATGGACTTAACAAGGTGTCCATGAAGTAAAGAAACAAATACTCAAATTTTAAGAGATTTACATTTTTTGGATGAAATTGCTACAGATTGTGAAGGAACGTTATTACAATATATCTTCCAACTTTCAACACGTACATATGTTATGGTCGTCATGAAATTTCTTAAAATTAGAGTATTTGCATCTTTACATCCTGAACACCCTATATTTCAGATTTTGAAGGAAAAATAAGCATTTTATGAATAAAATGTTTCATATTCATTTTACAATTTGTAACACTAAAATGGCATTTTTAGACTCCATGTTCCTTTCAAAGAGCTCTCTGAAATGTCCATACGCTGTGCTGTTAAATGTTAAACTCACATAATAGTTTCCGTTGTAGATGTTTGAATTCTATGAACGTGTCTCAGGAGCTCGCATGCATGCTGCTTATGTTCGCCCCGGTGGGGTCTCGTTAGTAAGTTCAGTGTGGCGCTCTCATGCATCATATTTTACACCTATATGCACATAGCTACCTTTACAATATTACTATAAATGTTTTATTGTACACTCCTTTTAGATTTGCTGTCTTGGATTCTTTTTTTTAATAATTTGAATATGAAGATTTGGTAAAACCAGCTTCACAATTGCATTTTGTGTAAGGACTGAAAATACTCATAATAGAATTTGGTTTGAAGTTTGCTTTTAAAACTGTTAACATGAGTTTCCTTTAGTCTACCAATCGATGCAAATGACAATAAAACTTCGTGTTAAGTTTGTGAAGGTATGCTATTGGGTGTGTAATTTCGCTTAATAGTATTAAGAATCTTGGATAGCACTGTTGCAAGAACATTGTGCGAATTTATGCTTAAATCTACTGAGGTAAGCTTTTAGCCATAGGAGTGGAATGAGTCTTAGACCATCATAGTGAAGTATGTTTTTGATAGAAATGCATGAAAACACTTTTATGTGTGTGTGTGCGTGCGTGCGTGTTTATTTGTACTACAACTTATTTTTCTACAAAATTGGAGATTGGTCTTACTCTGAATATGCTTTGACTTTCAATATAGTAAAACCTGTCAAGTCGAACCCCTCTGTAATTGGAACTATTTTCACAGTCACATGACCCATGAACTTCATGTTAATTGAACGTCATTATGTAGAAATACTAAAGTGGAACTATTTTCACAATCCTATATCCCATGAACTTCATGTTAATTGAATGTCTTTATGTAGAATACCTATTGGAGCAATTTATAGTGAAACCAAGGGTGTCCGACTTATTCAGGTTTTACTGTATTTCTTAAGTCCGATTTTCTCTTGATTTTCACTGAGGTATTAAGTACCTTTATATTTCAAGTGTTTGTGGCTTTACTAAGTATCTACTTTACACAAACTGCTTTAATATCATCATAAAATAGACTACTCATTATCATCCAACCATGCTTTAAAGTAAGGTGAAAATCCTGAAATTAATGAGGAATAAAGTATACAGTCCATACTGTTTGTATCAAAATATGAGGTCAGCTGAGTGGAGCTCACATAAATTTGAGCTGGTTAGGTCACTTGGCCAACTTCTCATAGTAGTACGAGGTTTCATGAGCATTTCTGTCATCAGGCAAAATGAATAAAAACAACAAACAAGAGATTATAATTTTAACTTATAAAGAGTTGAAAAATTACATGTTGCCTTTCACTCATGAAACCCCTGTAAGTTTAAAGTAATTATGACAAATGGTATGAAGTAAGTATTAAGAGGATGGTTTTAAGCACATATACAATATAATATACAGATGTAAGCTGTAGATATAGGCTATAACCTAACCCAAAAATAATATGGACCCTTTGGGAATTAGCTTATTTAAATATGTGAAAGAAGTTTATGAAACCTTCCATCTTTCAGTGAAACTTTGATTTCTCATACCCTTAATAAAATAACTCTCACAGAAAATGAGGGATTGATTGTTTGACCCGCCTTCTTTATTTTGTACACTATTGCTTGTATTTGTAGACTGTTATACAAAAACAAGTATTAGGCTCTCAAAAATTTACTGTATTTTCATCCAAAAACTGGCCTAGTGAAATCTTTTTCTTCGCTTATTAAGGATCTTCAGGCCAAAAAGTATCAACACTGTTCTATAGATAAATGAACAAAGCTGTTATTGCTCAGAAAAAATGAAATTTGAATTTAAAAACAAAATATATGCAATAGTGTTCAAAAGTGATTCTCTTGGCCTCTATTCTACACTATTCAGCATTTTTCAGATGTTTGAGTTTTACGAGCGTGTGTCAGGTGCACGGATGCACTCTAATTGGGTGCGACCAGGAGGAGTCCACTCGGTAACAGATCATATATTTTACTTCCTCCTCTACAGAAGAGTTCATATTTTGTTCGAAATTCAATGATGTTCAATTCAATTAGAATAATTCAACTAGAATATGAACTTTTGTAAGAGGTGTAAACAATTTATCAATGTCAGCCATATAAGGGTATATCCAGAATTGCATGCTATATGTTATACTTTTAGAATTTGAAGACATTTTAAACTTAGTCATTTGGATTATTGAAAAATCGATCCTTTCAAAAATATTATATACAGTATGTGGTTATTCACATAGCATTAGATTTGAAAGAAAGTTACAGAACAATATTCAACATTTAAAACTGAAAAATATTTAATATACATGTAACTTGAAATGCACTATTGTTTACAACATCACACCACTTTATGACATACAATGGATATACCCTTACGCTTGCGTAAAGCCAAACTATGTTAGATTGAAGCTAATGCATATACATACATGCATGATGTATTTGTGGATTTATCTATTGAAACTGTCATTGAAAGCTGTATAGATGCTGAAACACAACGCTGAAACTCAAACTGGTTGCATATAGATGGGCAGATGCTTATGGATTTTATGTTCCATCTGCACTTGTGCACTGTTCTCTTGCTATCTTTGATCTTGCAATAGTTTAGCTGTTGAATGTATTCAATGTTTGTTCTATACTGTGTCACAGAACATTTTCCCCAACTTTTTCTCAAAATTGAAAAAATCTTATTCATTTAAATTTACACTTTTCGAACCATTCATCCATCTAGAAAGATACAATAGTTTAGAATGATTTGTAAGCAAGGACAATACTAAAAGACACGTCCAAGAATTAGAAGAATGTCAAGAATCCGTGATCCAGTTATTCCTAACAGGTGCAGTCCACTGATATTCAACTTAAAGAGATACTTTCACATTCTCAACTGGATATTGTGCCCAAATGCTCGAAGTGTTGTCTTAAAAACTTTGCAACATTTACTTATAATCCCATTTAACTACTACACCACACTAGCCTTGTAATTGAACTGACAAAATTGTGAAATAAGTTTATTTCTAAATAATGAAAAGAACTCAATGAAAATGATTTTCAGCCTTATCAACAAAACTTTATTTTTTCTTCTAACATGCTGAAAAGAGTCAATTTTGTTTTGAATTTAGAGTGACACATAATAGATGGCGCACTTGTGCTTGTGAGATAGCTGCTGTATGTATGAATGGCTGTTTGCGGTTTCCATTCATTTGAGGAGCCAGATTTTTTTATGTACTGTGATTGCATGGTCAGATGCTTTGCATTCTGCATTGACATAGCATTGTGTCTTTGGAAGGGAGCCTTGTTTCACAATGTTTTGAATCCAAATTACATAATTGATACAGAATATAAAAGTAGGACATTCCATTAAAAAGCAATTGTGGGTTGTTCCAAGGTACAGAATTGATTCAGAATATCACATGACTACTAAATTTAGAATTTTCAAAATAATATGCGTTAAGATCATCCCTTAAGACTATGGTTGCGCTTTGCTATTAAGCAGAAAGAACAGTGCATAAATATGTCAATTAAAGCATTTATTTAAAAATCCTGTCAGTTGTTTGAAAATGTAAAAATAATATATGTCCAAAGATTGCGTTCAGCAAGGAATAGAGAATGTAAAGCTTTGGAAGCAATTTTTTTAAGGCATTCCCATACTTCCTCATAATCCCAATTTTAAATTTGAATCAGAAAAAAGTGAGATATTCCATCAAATATAGAAGCAATTGAAGATTAGATGCAGAAATCATTCAAAATAGGAAGGGGGAATTTGCCCAGATTCTAGTATTTGTTCTGCTTTGATATGACATGACACATGTAGAATGTTGTTACAATATCATTCATTTGACACACAACAACTGTCTTTTATAAAATGAATACATTTTAATCTAAATCACTGGTGAGTTCATTTTGTAATTTGGATTCTCATTAAATTGTACAGAGGTAAGGATATTTGAAAATTGTTGAATATACAGTATTATTATATCACTATCTAGCTAGCGACAGTATGATTGGTCAAAACCGGGTCACATGTCTTGGGATATCTGGCGATATTCAATGGCAATGCTAATCAGATAAGACAACCGTGAGATATCTAGCGATATCCCACGCTCCCGGGAATTTTCAAAGAATTTGTTTTCGTTCAGTGTAAATAATTTAGTTCAGTGTAAGTCAAAATGGCAGACGAACCGAGTAGATTCAATGTATTTCAATGTTAACCTATGACTTAATAATATTAGGGATGTTTAGCTAGACAGTGATATAATAAAACAAATATTTCACTCTATTTTCGGTGAATACCTGTAGCACTTTCACAAGGTGATATTCCACTTGCCCTTTGGGCTTTGTGGAATATCACTTGTGAAAGATGTACAGGTATTCACCTCAATAGAGTGAAATATTTGTTCAATATTCCATAATACTACTGTTTTCCCAGGGAAATATGAAGGAATAAAAATCGTATTGAATCGTATTACATGAAAAAATCGTATTGTCCCTCGGAATAAAACCCATATTTAATCCCTCCTAGTAAATAACCTATACTTATATCCTATGTTATCATTTATTTGTTAAAAGAAACAAGAAATGCATGTTGAAAATATTCACAATCTTTCTTAGCTTAAGATCAGTGTTAACAATCATAAATTGATTAATTGTATACTTTATTTAGAATTATTGGTAGAGAAAACCATATTCAAACAAAGCACTAAATAACTCACATATTAAAACTTTATCATGGAAACATAAAACTCATATCAAATAGGCAATTTGTTCAGAGCACTAAAGATATAAAATACAGCAAAGATATTATTTTGCTAAGCTTTTTAAATACTTTTTAAAATTTTACAAAATTAAGAGACGATCAATCATGATTGGTCATTAGGGGTGAGACGAGTCGAAAAAATCCGGTTCGAGTCGAATCCGATTCGAGTCAGAAAATGACGATTCGAGTTTCGAATCCGTTTCGAGTCGCGCGAAGTGCGAACAACATCGCTCATGACCGTTCGTATTTTTAATGCGTCAATGGTGGAAAGCCGGAAATATAAACAAACACAATTCGTCGTAAGTTTATTCTGATTTTATTACATATATTCTTTCATTTATGTGTACATACAATATAATAATTTAATACAAGCATATCCAAGTCATTGAAACTTATATATTCAACGCAATATCGAGTAAAAACATGCATATTGACAGTATTTTTCTGAATTTTTTTTTTTTTCGAATTTTTTTCTCAACTCAAAAATGATTCGATTCATCAACTTCGACTCGATTCGACTCGACTCGAAGCCCCAAACCCGCGACTCCTCGACTCATCGGGTTGTCGTCTCACCCCTATTGGTCATGCACAAGAATGATTGGTACCAAGGGTTCCAACTCGATATTCTGCTATATATGGAGTCATGTCGTGATTACAAAATTTTAAATTGAACATACACTTCATGTTTGCACTTCAGAATTTGAATCGCAAATTTTGGTCTTATTTCCAAGCAACAAATTGTAGAACACACAAGTGATCAAGATATTAGTTTTAATCTTTTGGATCCCTAATAATGAATTTGAAGCCAGTTATAATGTCAGACAAAAATGACATTTTCATTGTTGAAATGAGATCACTAGAATATTGGCCATTCTCCTTGCAGTTCATTTGTGCATTCTTTTCTGTGGAAATTAGCACTGAACAAATTGCTTGGAGATTAAGATATTGAGTTGGAACCCTGGGATGCAGCCCTCCTTCTGTATGACTTCACCAATTCATTACATTCACATTTTTGTAGGATATGCCATTAGGTTTGATGGATGACATCTATGACTGGGCATCTAAATTTGGAGAGCGACTTGATGAATTAGAAGATCTTTTAAGTAATAACCGTATTTGGAAGTTAAGAACTGTTGATATTGGAGTCATTGGAGCGGAGGATGCTTTGAACTATGGATTCAGGTATGCTGGGTTGTTGAATTAATGGCGAGACAGACATATAAAGTGAACCATGTCCTTTCCGATGTTTGAGGTCTTTTAGCTATTTCAGGAGCATACTGTATTTCATTTTCTAAATAATTCTCCATTAGACTGTGATAGGTCTAAATTGCTGAAACTGGTAACTACATACTCTCATCTGGGTTATTATCTGCATATTTTTGATTTTACTATAGGCCTATTGTACAGTTTTTATGCATTGACAAAAACTATTGCTTAATTATTACTTGTATCATTTTCAAATAAAATTTTTTTTCGTATAGTGGAGTGATGCTGAGAGGGTCTGGTATCAAGTGGGATCTCAGAAAAGCACAGCCTTATGATGCGTACGATAAAGTTGAATTTGACGTCCCAATTGGCAAGAAAGGAGATTGTTACGACAGGTAAATATGTCATATTGATGAAGTTTTGATAATTATGAAATAAAACATGCAAAAAAAATGGGCATGTGTGCATGGGCTCTGTTCATTTTTTCTTGAGGACCACTGGCGATATTCATCACGTTTGTACATTTTTGTGAGATCATCCTTTACATTTTGCACCTCGATCGATGCTGCTACTATACTGCGCTTTTCCTTTCTAGTTTTTCCCTGAGTATTAATGAGTGACTGACCAGATCTGAGCCAATTTATGAGAGACATTTTTTCATATTTTTTGAAAAAACTAAACCGGAAGTGACCTAAATACACTGGACAAAATACCCTAGATAATTCTCGGGGATTCATTTTGGCGAAGATTAATATTGGCGAATTTTTCAATTTCGCCAAATTAAAGCGGCCGCCAAATTAACCCAATCTACAGTATTAGATATATACTTACTTTAGCAATGTCAAACTTCTAGTTTACCTGGATGCATTAAAATTCACCATTCACAAATGTACAAACTTGTACATACTTTACATGCAATATTGTCTGTAATGATTATGATAGGTATCTGATTCGAGTTGAGGAAATGCGACAAAGCTTAAGGATTGTGCTTCAGTGTCTCAACAAAATGCCTGCTGGTGAGATTAAGGTGGATGATAACAAAGTAGCTCCACCCAAACGAGCAGAAATGAAAGTAGGTCCATTTTGTAAGAATCTCAAACATTTTTTTTCTCCTATAACATCACAGTACTGTCAGTTGTTAACCTTCAACTGAGTCTCAAAGTGTGTCAAAATAAAGAAATAAAAAGACAATTTAAACAGAACATTTGAATATACATCTTGCTTATGGCAGCTTATAGTATGTACAAGGTGTATGCAATACAGAATAGAATCTCCTCACTTTCATTTCTCCATTTATGTGAAAACGTCTTGATTGTAGGACTCCATGGAGGCTTTGATCCACCACTTTAAACTGTACACTGAGGGATACCAAGTCCCACCTGGCTCTACATACACAGCTATAGAAGCACCAAAGGTAAAATAGGACATTATATACATGTACTACCAAATATGTTGTGGATCATTTTCTGACAATCACGTAGAATAATTCGACCATTGTTATCAGTGGATAAAAATGATAATTTTGACAGATCCATTGGAATGGGTGTTTCACCTGACAATTTGGTATTATAAAAATGTTTTTGAAATGTTAATGTCCTGACTCGATTTAACTTCACCCCCTAAGGATAGCCATACACAGTATCTGTGTTGTTAACAGTACTGTACAATACCATTTTGGCTACGGTACTGTATCTACAGTAAAATGTGGTACCATACAGTACCATAGACTAAAACATTACCAAATGGTACCACAAACATTGTGTGGCACCATATCTTGAATGGTACACACTCTCAACATTCCATATGGTATTGTGATTTCATAATGTGGATTGAGGATATAGTCTTCTATTTGTTTGTTTTAGGGAGAGTTTGGAGTGTACCTGATTTCAGATGGAACCAACAAGCCTTACAGATGTAAAATAAAAGCACCAGGATTTGCACATTTAGTAAGTGTTATTCATGTTGATATAAAGTATACTATATAGATATCTATAGATTTTTTCTCACAACACTACCACATACATTTGAATATAAATATCTTATACCACAATGAGCCAATGAAGTTGTAGAGCATTAAAATAGAAAATTTTGAATCTTGGTACCTTTTATTTTATTATTTACAAAGTACGTTAAAAACAAAACACAATGTTGTGATTTTTGATATCTCTGATTTTTACTTTAACTGTGTTCGTATGTGTGCAAGTTTAAGTGAAGCATAAGTACATGTACACAATTCGAGCAATTAGGCACGAAACGAGTTTGTCGATACTCAACTTGAATATTGGTTCAAATTCTGTATCGTTTTTAACCTCCCAAAACAGAAAAATCATGTTCGTAAGCAGTTTGAATTAGTTTTAAGAGGACATTCATAGTTTCATACTATTCACAAATTCAAAATTGGGCGGTTGATACTATGGCATCTTTATGTCTTGTTTACCCCCAAGTGAAAAAAGTCAATGGGAAAATATTGACAATAAATAAGTAATACTCTATTAATTCTTAGCTAACAAATACCTAAAAAATTTATCATGCAAATTAGAGAGAATTACGTTAATAATTAGGTGTTAATAATAAGGTATTGTTAACATTCAACGCTCATGTAGAATATTGACTGATTATCAAATGAAAATTACATTGTAACAATAAGGTAAAATTAGAAATCTAATAATCATGTATTGATTATCTTCCAATAATAAGCTATATGAGTATTACCTAAATATTGTACATATTTATTGTGGTAATATTCTCTAATTTGCATGATAAATTTTTAAGGTATTCGTTAGCTAAGAATTAACAGAGTATTACCTATTTATTAGCTATTTTAAACCTATTTGTTGCATTACTCTTACCCAAGATGCATTATGGTCTTCGAAATTTATTTTCTACTATAAGAATTAACCCAAAACATTAAATAATATGTAAAATTAGGTGGGTAGGGACACACAAATTCGAAGTAAATGTGTAACGTTATGTAATTCGCGTGAATATCCAAATCTGGCCATGCAAAGCGTATAAATTATTTCATGGCAAAGTCTAAAGTTTTCTCAAAATTCTCTTGCAAAAACTATACAGATTTTGTCAAAAATCTCCTACAAAAGTACCACTTTTTGCAGAAAAACTATTGCTTTTATTAGAAAAAAACTGGAGATAATTCGTTTTATTTCAAATCTACCGTTAAAACTCCAGTTGTTTCAAAATTTACCTCAAAAACTCCTGATTTTTAAAAATCTACGGCGAAAACTACCAATTTTTTTAAAAACTACCAGATTTTGGAAAAATCTCCCGTAAAAGTACCACAATTTTTGGAAATCTCACGCAAATTGTTCATTTTAGGTTGGCCCTGGGTATGTAAGATGATATAAGCAATTATTATGGGACATCACTGGTAATTTTACCCCATTCAGAATTGTCCTGAAGGCCAGAAGGCTCACAGTTATTGAAGGACCCTCTAGGCCTCCAGCAGTATTTATATCTTCATAATCTTTATAAAATACCTTATATTTTTACTGCATGGTACAATTGGTCATACACAACACATTTATGCTTGACCACTTTGACTGTATGAATAGAATTAAAATTTAGCCTTTATAAATTCACAAAGAAAAGAAGATTTCCCCATCTAAACTGGAATAACACAGCAATACTTACATTTTACCTCTCACAAAGTAGACATGCAGAATGTTCAAGTATGTCAGTAACTTCTGAATCTATATTTGATTGGTCATTTTCATACTATTGTTATAAAATCATAAAATTACCCAAATCTCTTACAGTTGAACATTCTTTGTCAGCCATTTTTCTTTTGGTTGAAAAAGAGCGGGAAAGTTAATATTTTGCTAATACTCACTGCCACATTTCTTATAAGTCCAATCTTAACAATTAGCTAATTTTTATCACCTAGGGTAGCAAGGATGACAAAAAGTTACCCAATTATTCAAAGAGCATTATAACATAGTTGTTAAAATAATAAATAGGTGTAATAAATAGCTATTTATTGGCATTCAACTTTCATTGATTTAATGCTCATTTAACAAATAGGTTAACTTTTATCAAAATGCATAATTATTAGACTAAAGTTAACCAATTATTACATGAGAATTGCCATTTCTTTTTACTTGGGGGCCCATAAATTCTTTTACGCCGTTACATTGCTTGTATCCTATCATGAGGTTAATATCATTGCTTGTATCGAAATTAAAGATAACGTATCGTGGGACCCCTAGTACACGTGTATCTGTTGTGTTTTGTCATTTTTGTTTCTAATGTATATATCATGTATTCCAGGCTGGCCTAGATAAATTATCTAAGAACCATATGTTAGCTGATGTTGTAGCTATAGTTGGTAAGTAATTCAGATTCTATTTTTTAATCAATGACAATTTACATGATCATCCCACCGAACAAAGTTCAAAGTAGGATATACAGTAGAGACTAAGGCATCTATTCCACCATCTATTCCACCATCTATTCCTCTGTCCATTGTATAACTCTAAATACAACTTCTGATAACGTAAATACCTCTTATGGGATTCGGTCCTTTTATAGGCAAATTCTAATGGGAATAGGACCTCTTCTTGGAACGGAATAATATGAAATCTTGTCACGTTATGGGTTTAGATTCTACCTAGAGGAGACAATACTACTATTTCTGGTTATCTATCATAAAAAGTTGAAAATAATGATTTTTTAGAGTGGTTTGTTATGTGGTAATACTACATGTCATAAGTTATTATATTATTAAATAAATATAACATTGGATTTATTTTCATGATTATGACTTCCAATTTCAGGTACATTAGACATTGTGTTCGGAGAGGTTGACCGATAAACCTTGTCTCATGTATTATGTAACTGGTATGACAAGTTCATTTTACACTATACACTTTAAGCAGTGTAGTTACTACTCATAAATGCTTACGCTTGCCAACGATTTTATGGTGGTCACACAATATTAATATAAAAAGCAAAATAAAAATTTCATTTTGATTTTAAAATATGTATTTAATGTGCCATTTGGAGGATGATTTAAAAATGCTAGTGGCTTTTTTAAGTCCGTAAAAGCTATGGTGTTTCCAAAGATTCCTTTTCTATATTGTGTCACCAGCAAGAAACATAAATATATTGAGACTGGCATTCAGTGTCATTGTTGGCATTACATGAAAGTGAAAGGAGATTAATTTTGATCAAAACATATCAACTTCAGTATTTGTTTAGTTGAACACCTGTGAGTTGAAAAACTCTACAAGTGAAACACTTTTCAAGGTTTCGTTTCCCATTTATTTAATATAAAATGACCCCCTGTATGTGGAAAACCTTCCATGTAGAACACTATTTTGAGGTTCCACATTCACACACTGTATTAGTATTAATAAAGAATCCGTTTCTTCTTGTATATGTTGGACATGAAGTAAGGTTTTCTGTAAGGAAATCACCTTAAAAATCAACCTCCAAGTAGGAATAACAATCTATTATATGTTCATATAAATTATTCTGGAAAATATTCACCAAATATTCCATATTTGTAATCATCTTCTTTGAGAAATATGTCAAAATCTGAAATATTTGTACATGTCAAGAGAAAAAGTAGTTTTCATCATTTGTTTTTACATTGACAAGTTAGTATTTCATGAGATCTTTTTGGAAGGGCTCCACGTTTCAACATTGTACATTTCTCAAAAGCTCTATACTTTTACAAATCATGATCAAACAATTACGTTGAGAATTAGCTGTAATTTTGTTACATGTGTAATTTTGAAATATACATGTTGAATTATTAATCTTTTTCAAGTTAATTTGTCATTGATTCTTGAAATTCTGACCACCATGAAGTTTATGTAAGAAAATGTTGCATTCATTAAGGGCTCTATAGTATTTAAGGGAGGGGGTCAAGCTACACATATAATGAGGGAACTTGTACCGAACATGCAGAATCGTGGTCCTGTAGGGAGTCTCCTTTTCATAGAACATGTATTTATTTGCCCAATTGAGGATACATGTAGAATTACAAACGTTCCACTAAAGTCCCTGGAAAAACCAATCGAGATGAGGATAGGAGTCATGATATGACATGTTCACCTGCAAGTTATCTTGAAAAGTGTATCTTTAACCCCCTATTAACTTAGTGCTTCAACCCCAAAAATTGGACCTCTAGTGCATACATGTACATTGCATCATACTATTCTGATTTTATTTGCAGGAACTCTTGATGTTGTGTTTGGTGAGGTGGATCGATAAAACAATCAACAGAATAGAATTGGACATTATATTGTACATAGAACAACACTGCCAACAACAGTAGGATGGTGAAGTTATTGTGTGAAATGGGACGTTTCAAAAAAACATATTAAATATTATAAAAAACATGCAATTATGTTAATAATATGAAATGTCAAGATATAGTTTAAATTTCCGGCAACTGTTTATGAGACATTTAATTAACTGAGTCGTCTAGACTTTATCCATCTAAAGGTCGTTTCAAAACTCTGTTATTCAAAATTCATCCTATGTTGTGCTTTATGTTATTTATTGTACATATTAGAAGGAATGAATGGAGTTTCTTCAAATAAACAAAACAGTCAGTAGGAAAATACATTTTCTATTTTTAGCTCACATGGTGAGCTATTGTTATAGCCCATTTATCTTGTTCCTGTAAGAATATACACCCATATTGTTGTCAGATGGTTATATATTTCCGATCTTCCATGTAGCTACTGATTATATATGGTATTATGAAATCAAATGGGCTTAAAGGCCCACTATACTTTATCAAGAAGAAAAAAGAAAAAAACAATCATTGAAACATGTTACTCACACACTCGCTCATATATGAAACAAAGTTTGATTTGCTTTAATATTGAACCAAGAAAAAGAAAAAACTCATGTAGAAAACATTTGAAGTTCAGAGATCATTAGTAGTGCATGCACATTCTGAACAAAGTGCATGTTTTAATTACTTTTGATTTAAAAGATGGCGATATTTGTATAAAAATGAATGCATCATATAATACAGACAACTTTGCCATCTTTCAATGACATTGATAAAAACTTGTTATAAGTAGCTTGAACGATCGAAAATATTTTTTGATTAATTATTGTAAGCTTTGGTGTAGTCCTTTTGAGCTGTTGTGGTGTCGAATGAAAGATAAGGTTCTAATCAACACATTTGACATTCTATAAAATTCAAATGTAAGTCTTTGTTATTTTGTCCAAAAAACATTGAAAATACGCAAAGTGGGCCTTTAATGTACTACTAACGTAACGTTTGGAATAAAATTGACATTTTCCAAGTAAAATTCATTGTATCTATGATCAGGTATACTCTGTGGCAGTCGCAAATAAAATAAAACGGAATGCCAATTAAAATTTATTTTGCCAAATTCATAGATCTACAGGTTGAGCCAAAAATGACAGATAATCTGTTCTTGTTAGATGCTTGATTTGTATCCATTGTCTATTGAAAATATTGAAAATATTGTCCATCTGCAGCCCTGGTTAGTAGTCTTGTATCATAGTGATGTTACTTTGTTGTCGTAATATTTATACCATCAGTGACTTGGAGAAGGAAGAGTGTTTGTAATTGCACTGAACCGAATATGGCAAATTAAATGTGCGGTGACCTATAGCACATGTATAGAACCATTTTCCTGTCTTTTTATAATTTGAGGAATCTTGCCTTAAAAAGTAGAAAAACCTGAAGCCTGGTGATCAGGTCATTTTGATTTTCAACAAAAATGAATAGAATCGGAGGAAATTTGATGCAAGACTAATTTCCAACACTTCAAACAAATCAATCTAATCATTTAGTCAACTTGGAAGATTTGAAGCAGGATGTTGAACTTCAGTTCATAGAAAGGATCCAGTTTAAGACAGGTCGTTCCATCATCGTGCACGGGGAAGGAGACACCGGCCCAACGAATAGTGCCATTCTTTCCATATGCTCCTGGGGTATAGACTACTTTATTACGCAAGTCCCCTGCAATGTAAAATGTTATTTTTTGATAGCTTGTCTACTACCTCGCTAAACAACAAGATACAAGATTGTTTTCATCATAGGTCATATTATATTATTCTACCACATACATGGACTGTCATGACTGTTGCAATGTGAAATGACATAATGTGCGCATTTATTTTTTGTATATGTATTTCATTTGGATGTGCGCTTGTTCTACCTTTGACCAGAAAGCATTATTTAAAAATTGTACTTAAAGTTATACCCAAAATTCCATTCGCCTCTGTGGAAATGACCTTTTCAGACAATCCAAAATTCAGAAAAGGACTGCCTCGTGACGCTCCCTTTCTAATAATATTAACTGTAGTGTTCCCATCATCTAAAAACACGTTCGCTTTCTTTTTATCGATGGTCATCCAGATACCACCAGGTAACTCCTTCTTTCCCATGGTCCATTTTGTCTTCTCTATAGGTTTTCCGTCCAATGCGATGTTGATTGTGTTAGGGTCAAATGTCATGGCAACTGGTCCTTTCTTTATTTTTACTGAACTGATGTATTCGACAAGTTTGCCGGCGTCGTCTATGGTATTGCTGTCAATAAACCGTGAGGTTATCTCTGAAAAATTGGAAGAGTCTTTATTTACTTATCCTATCCCACCAACGAGGTTATTGAAATAAAGCCCATTTAAACAATCTAGAAATTGGATATTTTACTTCTTTTATTGAATCATAACTATACATTTTATGTTTCGTTACTCATAAATGCATGTTGTACATTAATGGAATGATATTGTTACTGAGACTGTTACTCTCACACGGAGACACACCACCTACCAAAATCTTTATCTTTTATAAAAAGGTACGTCTTGCCAGGCTGGCCAACGAAATCGTAACAGAGTGGTCTATCTGAGTTCTTTATGGTCTGTCTAATGTGAGGATCCCCACACACTCTAATTCCAGCGCTATTAGGTTGGACGCGGCACGTTTTCTTGAAGGGTTCGTGTGAACAGTCGGCATCACTGGTGCACGCCCCTTCAGGTAAACATGACATTTGACATATAATGAGTATGGTAACTACTATAGAACGCAGGTCAAGAATGACTTGTTCGGACTTCCTGTTTTTCAAATTGTAAGTTTCTAGAAACATTATTATACCTCGTGTCTATTATGTGGAGTAAAAAGGTAATAAAAACATACATATCAGTAAAAACACATAATATTTCTCAAAAAATGAACACCAAAATTATGAAATACCTCTGACAGCGACTACGGGATCACCTGCAGGGACAACACTACATTCCTCTGTGTTACACTCCAAGGTATCGTCTTCAGTTAGTTTTCTGACCCCATCGAATCCTTCGCAGAGTAATCCATTCCCAGACGGAGGAGGGTTATTGCAAGTTCTGGTTCGTGTCTTGATACCACCACCGCATATTTCACTGCACTCGCCATAATCTGACCAGCCGCTCCACATTCCATCCACAGCTTAGGAATTATAGGATTTATATGTTGATATACAAGGTGTCCATAACGTCTCTATACACTTTACACAGACGTATTGTAATTGTAAAGATACTTTATGGACACCCTTTATATACATGTAGTATCTATTCTGTTTTATTACTTAAACGATGTTTATTCAATGACATTGGAGAGGTTAAGCTTTGCATATATAATCGAAACTGAACCTGTACGTATCACTCGACCATATACAAATTCATGTAGCCTTCTCATATAAATAGCCGTTCAAATCCAGTGTTTGTTTAGACTACACCATAGCGTGTAATGATTCTATAGTATGTCATTGATGCGGTTTTATAGCTGGTTTTCTAATACATATTTTAAACGAGCTCGTTTCGTAAGATTTTTGGCGCTAAATCATGCATGACATACATCATCGTGTTCAGCAAGAATTCAACTGTACATCGAAATCAAAATTGACAGCATAGTGTTCAATAGACACGAGTAAAATGGTTCCCGTTGACCCAACGTCAAATATTCAAATCTCCCGTTCTAAACCCGAAACTCTGGAGCTGAAAGAGTATCTGAAGTAGACTAAGCGCGCATAAAACTATGAGCGCACGATACATTCCTTTGTTAATTTTTGTACTTTACGTTCACGGTTACGTTGTGAAAAACATCGTTAGCTTAACCTCTCCATTGACACATCAAGTACGCAAACGTCAAATGGTTTGCTTAATATTTAATATCCTGTTTCAATTCTATCAAGAAAATTAAAATAACCCGATGCCAGTATAGGTTCTTGAATCTCCGAACTTTTATCTTTCGAGCCATTTCAAAGATATTGTCTACATTTACAATTTCCTCCCAGGACCTACCTAAGCATACATCTAGCTACAAACAGTTCTTGCTTCTTTCGAATCCCAACAGTAAGAAAGTAGAAACTATTATCCCGGGAGGTGAGATTATATGGGAGAGTACAGACATGATACAAGATACGAGAGAGTACAGACATGATACAAGATACGGGAGAGTACAGACATGATACAAGATACAGGAGAGTACAGACATAATACAGGATACGGGAGAGTACAGACATGATACAAGATACGGGAGAGTACAGACATGATACAAGACGATGAAAACCAACGTTTTGACTAAGAAGTGAAACTTACGACAGGCCTCTGTATTACATTCTGCTGTTTCCGTGAAACTGGTTCCACTAGTCCCACCGGGTAAAAGACATTCCTGCCCGCCCCCGAATGGTATAGGGTTATTGCATTCCTTGGTGGCAGTTTTGGTTCCGCCACCACATGATTTAGAACATGTGCCGTAGTTCGATAAAGCACCCCAGCCACCGTCAACTGGAATGAATATTATGAAAAATAGTTTAGTGCATCGTCCAACGTTTTTTTACCCTGCGTGCAGAGTCTAGTTAAACTAAAGAGTGAAGTCGAACGAATGCAAAGGGTAACGTTTTTTCAAAGATTAAAAAACAGAATGGTTAACTTTTGGATACGAATGACTAGAGATGTTCAATATTTCTTACCCAAGCTTACTATCTTATTGATCAATTTACTTATAACATGGGTTAATATACTTATAACATGGCTTAATCTGCTTATAACACGGGTTTGTCGACAGAGAAAGAAGTCCTGGAGTCTACTGTTTTTGTCTCTTTTCTTTATTCTTCTTCTTCTATTATATGGTCAATTAAGGTAAAGTATCTAGTTGGTGGGAAATGGGATCAAATTTTATCACTAGGTCAAAGGTCAAGAACTGGGTCAAATATTGTGCTTTCACTATTTTACCACTTTTCTCAGTCGTCCTTTAGTATTTTTCATTATGTTACTTATAGATAAAGCTAATTCCGTTAGCCAAACCGTTTTTTATTACTCTTACAATTTTTTAGATATCTGACGTAGGAAACTGTAAAAAGGGTAAGTAATGAAATCCGACTCCCTATTGATGTTTACGTACCTAGCCTACACTCATTTAAAGGAGCACGCACGTATCGCAAATAACTTCAGACGATTCTTATTTGAGTTATTATTTTCTGATGGTGACAATGGGTATATATTTTAGACCCATTCATTATTTCCAAGAAAAGAACATAGATGATAATTAAGTTAATCTGACTAAATTATATTAAATGAGCAATACACCAATCAATATACTTTTTCAAAAAGTTGAACTAATTTTCACTATAAGTTCAACCTTTTATTATATTGTTGAATGCATAATTATAATGTGCTTTGAGACATGTTTTTTTTTTAAATGAAAAATGGATTACTCCAGGGACTTTAAAGATACTAAATTTGGATGACCAAAATGAGCTGAAACCAATAGATAACATGCGTTTTTTTCAATGGGGGAAATAACATATAACAAGACATGACCGTCTGAAATTGTTTGCAATAACGTACGTGCTCCTTTAGTATACAGAGTATGCTCATAGTGTTAGCCTTTTGCAGTCACACGTTGTTTTAACAAAGTTTTGAGATGTAGTGTCCATAAAATAGGTCAATAAAGAAGTTCTTCAAATTCAATGTTTGAGGTAGCATAATTAGAGGAAATTTTCTCAGAATTCCGAATTTGAAATTAGAATTAAAATCTGTCTTTCAGATTCTACGCTATTTTGAAATTTCGAAAAATCGATATGATATTATCCTAATACAAAATCAAAAAATAGCAAAGAAAATATTTGAAATCTGTCTATTGATGTACAGGATGGTCCAAAAAATGGGCCACTCGTCAAAAATAAATATTGATTTTCTTGTTGAAAACATGTCATATTATATACCAGTGGATAGGGAATTTATTTATCTTTAATTTGGTATATAATAAGTTTAAAGGACAAGGTGCAATTATTGGCAAATATCCCTATGGTCAAAATGAATCATTCGTAGGTGTAACATGAAGAATAAAATGTCATATAGTACTTAGGAAAATATTAAAGTGCTCGGGCACACATAAGCTGAGATAGGGATCATTTCGTTCAGTAAGGTTGTATTGACTTACATGGGGCTATGCACCATTGACTTAACATGAGGATATCAGCAGATCCCAATAGAGGCCATTGATTTCCATTGATTATCACAGAAATACCAAAAATACACTATGACCTGAATCGATTGCAAACTTAATAATTTCACAATACGACACAAATGGTTTATCTCATCAAATGTGCAACTATGAAGTTTGCAATCGATTCAGGTCATACTTAAAATTAAAAGATTGTACATTTTTTCATCATTTTTTTTCCCTACAAAATGGCTATAGAAAAACGATCCAAAAACAACTTTTACACTTATCAAATGTCATACAAGTTTGTAAAACCAAAGATTATACTATTATATTTCATTATGTAGTAACATATTTGGATAAGATGCAGGGATGCGTAGGATGTAAATGGATTTTGACAGACACAAAAATACTTCCTGGTTTGGAATCTATGCCTCTACACTTCATAATTGAATTATGACCCTAATAAGTGGCCTATACATCAATACAGTGCTGAATATAGGTCAACAAGATACTAGTGTGCATATAAATGTAATAATTGAAGCAGAATACTCATTTTGAAAAATCAGATGAATTATTTTTTTCCCATGGGGAGATCCCAATGGAGGGTGTATAAGGTCCTTTATTATAATGGCTGTCAAAGTGTCAACCAGCGTCCATAATATAAATGAAGTCATTTTCGTTTCAAAAAGTTTTTTTAAAACTTGCAAAAACCAAATTGTATTGTCAACTTTATTTACATAGACACACGTACAATATGTCCACCATTTTGATCAATCATAGCCCCAATTTCGGCCTAAACTGGTCAATAGCATCATTGATATGCTGTTAAGACAACAAATTTCACTTCTCAATAATTCTGTCCTTAGGGACTGATCAATGGATGTAAAAGAGTCATGATACACCAATTAAATACACCAAATTGTTAGTTCCTCCAATACGCTAGTCGCAGATGTTGGGTGATCGGAGGGAGGGGGAGGGGGGCAGTGATTAAGGGATAGGCACATTTTCCTCTAAACATTAGACACTCTTGTGGTACCTATGGATTATAACCCTTCCTTGTTGGAAAATGTAGTGATTCGAAAATGAGCTCATATCAGGATGGTCCAGAAACAACATAATTGGATCATCCGATGTCAATGTCTGCGACTACTAGTACCACATATTGGGAGAACTCACAGAACTGGTGTACCATGAACCCCTTACATCTACCCAGTCCCTTATTAAGGACAGAATTGTTGAGAAGTGAAATTCATTGTCTCAATGGCATATCAATAATGCTATTGACCAGTTTAGGCTGAAATTGAGGAATATAATTGATTAAAATTGTGGATATATTGAACGTCTGTTTATACAAATAAAGTTGACAAAAAATTTGGTTTTTGCAAGTTTTGGAAAACCCGTTTTGAAGCAATGACATGACATCATTTATATTTTGGACGCTGACTGACAGACATTATAATAAATTTGAACTTATGATATACCAAATTAAAGATAAATAAATCCCCTATCCACTGGTATATAATATGACAAAATCAATATTTATTTTTGAAATACGAGTGTCCCATTTTTTGGACCACCCTGTATGCACAGATATGAATTTTATTTTGAATTATCTGTTTGCTAAATCTGGAGTATGGAGTCTGAAATTGAATTTTCCAATTTCTAGTTATTATATTATATTGAAACCATTATAATCTTAAAAACGAAATATTCTAAATCGAAACCGAAAATTAACAAAATAAAAACCGTGAACCACGTACAAATATCAGTGAATGTGTTATAAGCGTTTACCTTGTTTTGTACAGCAAAATCAGGCTGTGATTTCCAAATTATATATAAAACTCTAACGAACGGAAACTGTCATCTTACCCTCACAACCGATATTAACGTCACTCTTTACAAATCCATCATTCGTTTGTACCCCGGTTTGGATGAACCAATCTGATTGGCCCATGATACTGTTAGGTAATACGTCAGGAGCCGATGTCTTGGCAACAATCTGATTTGTATCACTATCCTGTATGATCCATCTTTCATCGGGCGAAACATTATTATAGAACAACTTTAGATTTGGTGGACCTGTAGAACATTATCAGGGATGTTAGATGGTGATGCATGGGAAGATCTGGTATGATCACTCAGCTCTTTGATTAACTTACGCTCTTTCTAATTACTGGATTGTCATGAATCATACCAAGAATGCAACGTAACGTGGTGTTATATGGCGGATGAGGGGCGTGGGCCTCAAAAATTAAAGGACACTACTTTTTTAAAATTTGGACCGATTTTTAAGAAATTGGGCCCTTATTTTCAGATTTGGGGCCCAAAAAATATAAATTCTGTTGATTTGTTACATCACTGGGAGAAATATAAAGTACCCATATTTGAATGTAGACTGTATTACGGTGCCCCACAAAACTACATAAAAGGACTTGTATAAATTAGAACCATCTGAAAATGGGCTCAAGTATCAATCATTTGCTTACTATTACAATCTCCAGGTGATGCAACACATCCTAGATATTAATAAAAAATATGACTCTATGTTTTAGAATATTTTTCCAATGTAGAACGAGTTTTTCAGCCCTGAGTGTTATAAGAATGAGAAGTCCATATCTGCTATAGTTTGTACTTCATTCAGGCTTAGACACTCTACAAATACCATGGCTTTTAGGATGATTTAAAGATGGCAGTAATGTATTGTGTATGTGGTACATATGTTATTATGAACAGGATGACTACACTGCCATCTAATGTACATTCTATCTATCACCCTTAACACACCGGAATAGCCTGACAACGGTATTAGTCAGATACCGTTGTCACAAATGGCGGACATAACCGTCGCTTCAACAACAACCAATCAAGTCTTTATACTTATTGTACAGTTAATAATGCTCTACCATCGAAATAAAGTCTTTAATTTAACCGATCAAAATAAGACAACGGACACTGTATTTCCACATGCCGTTGTCTTTGTAAATTATTGCAAATTCAGATTCCACTGTCATTGACGATATCGAAGACGCTATATTGTGGCGATTCACGACCGAATTTGATCAAAATTGGGATTTCATATGATACATCATCACAAGAGCTTAATACATGCACAGAATTAGCGACGATAAAGTCCCATGAAATGAGGACCAAGTGATTGAAGAGTTGAAGCGACGGTTATGTCTGCCATTTGTGACAACGGTATCTGACTTTACCGTTGTCAGGCTATTCCGGTGTGCTTAAAGAACTCTCACCACTATCACGTAGATAGGACGGGCTGTTGTTGATGTCGCTGCCTCGACTATATATGCCATTGATATATGTCGCTGCAACATCTGTAATGCCATATACTAGGACTGCTGAACAAGCATTCTCTAATACATCTGGGTCTAAATGAAAAAAATGTTATTGTACATTTTAATTTAATAGTAAATGATAGTGACCCCTGTTACACAGGACGGTTGAAATACTTCGTTACGAAGCATTTTGACAAAAAGCTTCGTAACGAATCGATTTTGGGCCATTTTGTATTAAATGAGAGAAATCGCCGTTTCTCGCATTAATATGACATACAGTATCAAATCTAAAAACCGCAGGTTTTACTGTATACGTAAACGGTAGTTTTGAAACGTTTATTCAATCCATTAGCGAATATTAGACCTAGAAAACTCAGTCTCATGTGTGGAAGCGTAAACTTTTGAAATTGCGTAATCTATGCTTACTAAATAGAATAATGTGGCATACATGTTTGATATTTAGATTTTTGCTCCTCGTATAATCATACCTTGAATATAATTAGATGCTAATACCATGATACAATTGCTTCCCAGTAAATCACATCAGGGATTTAGCTGAATTATTATACGAAAATGCCCCTACTCAGAAATCGTATTCAACTGGCTATCGCCCTGGCTTTTGCAATTCTTATCTGGTCGTTTCATTATTTTATTTTTCGACGATTTAAAATTGTAAGTGAAGTTACACTTCATGTTTAAATAGATTGCATTAACGTTTCAAAACTACCGTGTACTGTACATATGCGGTAAGACCTGCGAACAAGGAACGCTCTTTGAACTGGCCAAAACTGTGCCTTGTTGACAGGTATTTGCAACAGAGAGGCGCACTGGCGGATCTGGGGGGCGCCCCCCCCCCTTGGGTGGGCCCAGAAAAAATTGGGCCTAACAAAAATTTTGGAGCGAAAAAAGGCCCCAAAAATGGGCCTTTTTGATCATTACCGGGCATTTTTAGGCCTTATTTTTTCATTTCAGGCCAAATTTTGAAGAAAATTGGCCTCAAAATTTCAAAATTTGGGCCCACTTTTGGGTTTTAGGGGCCAAAAAAATTTTTCCTCGTTAGCGCGAAAGTTTTTTCTCTGACCTGAAATTTGCCCCCCCCCCCTTGTTGGTTTCCAAATTCGCCCCTGAGGCCCCATGTATTAGGCCAGCCCCAAAAACCAAAGTCCCGCCTAGGCATTCATAATTGTTGCCCTTGAATTATTGATGTGTCCTAAGACGTTGCTTACAACTGATTTTCAAGTTTCTTCCTATTTGCGTCACTTTCGAATTCAACTGACGGCTGATGGATTAACATACTATTTTTATGGCCAACTCAACCAAATATGAATGGTATAGTGGCGGATAATATTCATAGTATTGGTCATGAAATGAGTTAAACCAACCGAGCCGAATCCGAGATATTTAATAATGGCTACACTATTTGAATCACGCAATATCATGGTATAAGTGAGAAGCCCATTCGGGAATCGTTTTTATACGATAGTACATACTTGCCCCCTGTATAAACCCCAAATCCAATCCCACCTAATAATTAACCTCTACTATTCCATATGTTTTCCAAGAGAAATGATAGAAAATGAGAAGAATACTTGTCATCTTATTGACTGAAATATATAAAAATCGTATGGACATGTGTACGGAATGATCACATTCATCTGGTTTTATTTTCTTTGGAATTTCGAACTAGCGCAGAATTGTTAAAATAAAGTTTAAAAGTTATGATCATTGATTTATATTAAAATAATAAGAATATTGATGAATAAGTGGGCGGGGCAGGTGCAGTGTAACACCAAATAATTGCTTCGTTTTGCTTGGATAAAGCCAGTGAGGACACTGTTTTTTCTGTAACCTTCGTTAGACTCACCCCAGCAGTGTAACAGGTACCAGTAAGATGATAATCAAAACATGGAATGACTTTAAACATGAGGTGAACTGAAGTAGTTGGGTAGGTGGGGGTTTGTTACCTTATTCTTCGGCCACAGTGTGGCTAGAGACTCGAGTAAAGGGATTGGTGTTCCAGAGCTTGTAACAATCCATTGTATAATGCTGAAGAATTACTAATACATATATGCTTTGGTATGTCCTTACCACATTCAAAGTTATTACAGGATATAATTTGCACTTCTCTCAAAAGCCGTGTCGTTCCATCAAGGCCAAGACATGGTGCGCCACCAATCGGGGTTGGATTGTTGCAATCTCTGGCCCTACTTTTCGTTCCACCTTGACACGTAGCAGAACACTCCGTAAAATCTGACCAAACACCCCAAGCTCCGTCAACTACAAAACAAACGTCGAATTCAAAGATTTCTAATGCCCCAAGTACAATATAAATTCGCATTTTTAAAATCAGGAAGACCAGGCAAGAAATAGGAACATAATACTAGTACAGGCTTCATCAAGGAAGGGAAACTCAAAACATCCCAGTGGCGTAGCCTGGGTATTTTGTGATGTACGTCACGAGTGAGCAAAACTATGAGGGTGGATTGGGGGTTCTTCCCGCCAAACCTTCATGTACATGTTCTTAGTCTGCGAAAATATGTCACTCATTCATTATTAAAGTTTAGTTTGGAACAAAATACATTTAAGAATACAATGTAAGCTTTCCAATGGTGAGCGAAATGTATGGGTACGTAGCTATACAAAAGCTGCACGTAATGCTGTTAACCTGCGAAGATATTTCGTTATTTAATAATAAAGAATCATGTATCATTCTATATTGGAAATATAAAAGCATGAGTGTATACACTACAACTAACCCATACACATGATGCACGAAGGCGAATCCGACAAATGCTTTTATATTTCCGATATAGAATGATACATGATTCTTTATTGCAATTCAAACATGACTCCGGCTAGCCAGAGACATATAATAACATAAATTAAATTTTATATGTTTTTGGACAAGTTTATTATTTAGAAATACTGAATAGGGTTTGGTTACAATTAATATTCGTTTAAAAAACTATTGAGAAGGTTTTGTTTGTCAAAATATTAAAGGAAATGAAATAGTTAATTAGATGCAGAAAAATTATGAAAAATTAAATATGTGTTCCCTAATTTGTCTATCAATTACTTTGCAGTTGCATTGGCTCACAAGCATATAGTTGTTACACGCAGGAATTATGCATTCGGTATAACGCCTTTCCGTACAGTACGCGTCGGTATAATGGGTTTCGGTGCAATGCGCGGACCCCCATTTATACAAGTTAAGTGCAAAAATCACAAATAATACTTTATCGTTACACGCCTCACCATTGACAACGTACATCAGTGACAAAATATACCGTCGTATACTTTAGATGTACGATGTATATATCATGAGTAAATGTCTGTAAGGTGATACTTGTGAAGGCAGTTCTTTAAGATAGGACATGTTGAATTTTCACAATTGTTAACCTCAAATGTAACGTTATCCTTTCCCGAAAAATGAACAGAAATCGAAGCATATTAGGAGCCAAATATGGCTATTATGAGCCATTTTTTATTAAATATTGTTAATATTGAATGGATGTCTAACTGGGTCATTCAGGCCTCAATATATCCATAATTCAAAATAATTTGGAATGATGTTTATCATGTGGACTCATGTGAGCAGTCGATTTTGTTAATTCTTGAGAAAGACGTCATAGATTTCGTTAAATTATGGCGCGAATTGACCATTGGCTTTGTATCATCATAATCATCGTTAAATCATATCAATCTTCAACGGTATTTTCAAGCGCAAAACAGACCATTGACCCTTTACAATAAGCAAATAAAAAAAATACCACAATCCATTCGAAATTTGCATAATTTTCGATTCAAAACGTGTCAAAATGCGAAAATGAAAATGTTTTATTTTTAATGGAAAAACGTTACAAAATCTGACAAATATCGTTGGGGTAGGGGTAACACTTTGAGTGAAAAAAGTAAGAAAAAATGTCCCGAGTGTACCAATAGTCAAACCAACGTAATTATGTATAAAGGAAGTTTATCTAGACTCGACAAAAATCATCAATACTCTCTAAAACATCATTTTATCGAAGAAATACAGGACTATATGTTTTTTGCTGTGAAATCAATGGCGCCTCAAATATTCAAATGATTATAAACGTCATACCCATTTTCAGAAGCTTCTTATGGAAAAACTTATCCGTTGACCTACCTTTTTTATTACATTTTTTGAATCGCTACATATATGTCTAAAATAAAAACCTAGTTTCGTTGAGATTGAAAATGGTCGATTTTTTCGGAGGTTACACTGGTATATCCTTAAAGGGTGACGCATATCGTTTAGCAAATCGAACGCTCGTTTCTGGTGTTGCTCACCGTTTAGTATAAAAGGCCCGATCCCGGAATAATACTCAAGGGTTCACAGGTTCGAGGTCGTTGTGTCAACACCTCTAACTGTTATATAGCATAAGTATATTATAGATCGTCACACATTTATAAAAGGGTGATTTTTATTTTGACAAATCAATTCTACATTTATGGGTGAAGTTTCAGGATCTTCTATTTGTGTATAATAAGGAAAAATTGGCATCTAAATTTCCCCATAACGTAATAGCACACAGCTTGGCATATGAAATATCCTACAAATGAAATAAAGCAAGACAACCCGGTTTCTAATACAAGGATTTATATTGGCTGTTGTACATGTATTCTTTGAACGCAATCACTCTTTGGATAACGTTTTCAAAATCATTATAAACAATTACTTTATCTCAAAGACAATTTCAATAAACTGGATTTTACAGAACTCCCCTTATTTCTTAAAAATGGACTGATCCAGTTGATTCGCCTGGAGCCGCCATATTGTTTTTATACGGGATGCTTATCGGAAACCTTTAAAAGATTTTCGAACAATGCTCGATTTTTCGTAGTCAATCTACTCAGTATATAATTGGTCGGTAACGGAAGATGTTGTTTTTACACATTTCCTTTGATCATTTCCTCCCATGTCGTCTAAGAGTGTCGAATATTTTTATGAGAATATGTTTCTTTAAACTACACAAACCTACATCAAATATACACAATTGTCTTTGCTTCAAATCGGTTAAAAGTGACACCGTACATGTGCATCTAAAGTGTACGACGGCGTGTTTGTCATTGTACGTTGTCGATGGTTAGGCATGTAAGTATTACTCTTAAATAAATTTATAATGATTAAGTCAAGCATATTGAGTGCAGCTGTGAATGCAATATGGAGAAAAAGGTCCATGTGCAGTATTGCAAGTGCTTTAAGACGGTCATATCTTTCACCATGGGTACTTTCTGGCCATAAATACACTGTTCTTTTTATAAAAACAATATGTTTTCCCAGTTCCAATGAAAGTAAAATGCAATGTGAAGTCCCAATGATAGTAAAATATCAATTCAACTCTGAAAAATTATGGATTAGGACCCATATTGGCACTTTAAAAAAATGTTAAGCTGAAAAGGGAATGGGTATTGAAATGCGTAAAAGTTAAACAACACATATCCCATGTTATATAGGGAAAATTCGTGCTATCCATTGTTTTCAGCATAATTCTTTTTATTTCTGGTCATCAAAAATTGATAAACTAGACCTTCAAATAATTCTACTCCTTGTAATATAGACCCCTTGTTGAATAATCTTTTTATGCAATATAAAAATCGGAAAAAGATCCTCTTTTGAGTAAATAGGTTCAATATTTTGGAAATGATGACATAATGTGGGTAATATTTCAAATTGTTCGATTGGTATTTTACTATCATGGGTACTTCACTTGAAAGTTTGTTTTACTAAGAACCATTGTATTATGCCCAGAAAGTACTCATGGTGAAAGACATGACTGGCTAAAATCACTTGTCACACTGCACCCTTTCTCATCATTGATTTGACAAGGTGTAGGTGATATTATTGATTGACTTAATATTGCCTTGAAAAGTAAATTCAAACGAGGGGCTCAATGAATAATTTAAACCAACCGTTGCTAATACTAACCTGCCATTGTTAATACTAATATGCTTCTGTTAATACTAACCTGCCATTGTTAATAGTACTAACATGCTTCTGTTAATACTAACCTTCCATTGTTAATACTAACATGCTTCTGCTAATACTAACCTGCCATTGTTAATAGTACTAACATGCCTCTGCTAATACTAACCTGCCATTGTTAATACTAACATGCTTCTGCTAATACTAACCTGCCATTGTTAATACTAATATGCTTCTGCTAATACTAACCTGCCATTGTTAATAGTACTAACATGCTTCTGTTAATACTAACCTTCCATTGTTAATACTAATATGCTTCTGCTAATACTAACCTGCCATTGTTAATAGTACTAACATGCTTCTGTTAATACTAACCTTCCATTGTTAATACTAACCTGCCTCTGCTAATACTAACCTGCCATTGTTAATACTAACATGCATCTGCTAATACTAACCTGCCATTGTTAATACTAATATGCTTCTGCTAATACTAACCTGCCATTGTTAATAGTACTAACATGCCTCTGCTAATACTAACCTGCCATTGTTAATACTAACATGCTTCTGTTAATACTAACCTGCCATTGTTAATACTTATATGCATCTGCTAATACTAACATGCTTCTGTTAATACTAACATGCCTCTGCTAATACTAACCTGCCATTGTTAATACTAACATGCTTCGGCTAATACTAACCTGCCATTGTTAATACTAACCTGCCATTGTTAATACTAACATGCTTCGGCTAATACTAACCTGCCATTGTTAATACTAACATGCTTCTGCTAATACTAACCTGCCATTGTTAATACTAACATGCTTCTGTTAATACTAACCTGCCATTGTTAATACTAATATGCTTCTGTTAATACTAACCTGCCATTGTTAATACTAACATGCTTCTGCTAATACTAACCTGCCATTGTTAATACTAACCTTCCATTGTTAATACTAATATGCTTCTGCTAATACTAACCTGCCATTGTTAATAGTACTAACATGCTTCTGTTAATACTAACCTTCCATTGTTAATACTAATATGCATCTAATAATACTAACCTGCCATTGTTAATACTAATATGCATCTGCTAATACTAACCTGCCATTGTTAATACTAATATGCTTCTGCTAATACTAACCTGCCATTGTTAATACTAACCTTCCATTGTTAATACTAACCTGCCATTGTTAATACTAACATGCTTCTGCTAATACTAACCTACCATTGTTAATACTAACCTTCCATTGTTAATACTAACCTGCCATTGTTAATACTAACATGCTTCTGCTAATACTAACCTTCCATTGTTAATACTAACATGCTTCTGCTAATACTAACCTACCATTGTTAATACTAACCTTCCATTGTTAATACTAACCTGCCATTGTTAATACTAACATGCTTCTGCTAATACTAACCTTCCATTGTTAATACTAATATGCTTCTGCTAATACTAACCTGCCATTGTTAATACTAACATGCTTCTGTTAATACTAACCTGCCATTGTTAATACTAACATGCTTCTGCTAATACTAACCTACCATTGTTAATACTAACCTTCCATTGTTAATACTAACCTGCCATTGTTAATACTAACATGCTTCTGCTAATACTAACCTTCCATTGTTAATACTAATATGCTTCTAATAATACTAACCTGCCATTGTTAATACTAACATGCTTCTGTTAATACTAACCTGCCATTGTTAATACTAACATGCTTCTGCTAATACTAACCTGCCATTGTTAATACTAACCTTCCATTGTTAATACTAATATGCTTCTGCTAATACTAACCTGCCATTGTTAATACTAACATGCTTCTGCTAATACTAACCTGCCATTGTTAATACTAACATGCTTCTAATAATACTAACCTGCCATTGTTAATACTAACATGCTTCTGCTAATACTAACCTGCCATTGTTAATACTAACATGCTTCTAATAATACTAACCTGCCATTGTTAATACTAACATGCTTCTGCTAATACTAACCTGCCATTGTTAATACTAACATGCTTCTAATAATACTAACCTGCCATTGTTAATACTAATATGCATCTGTTAATACTAACCTGCCATTGTTAATACTAACATGCTTCTGCTAATACTAACCTGCCATTGTTAATACTAACATGCTTCTGTTAATACTAACCTGCCATTGTTAATACTAACCTTCCATTGTTAATACTAATATGCTTCTGTTAATACTAACCTGCCATTGTTAATACTAACATGCTTCTGCTAATACTAACCTGCCATTGTTAATACTAATATGCTTCTGCTAATACTAACCTGCCATTGTTAATACTAACATGCTTCTGCTAATACTAACCTGCCATTGTTAATACTAACATGCTTCTGCTAATACTAACCTACCATTGTTAATACTAACATGCTTCTGCTAATACTAACCTACCATTGTTAATACTAACATGCTTCTGCTAATACTAACCTGCCATTGTTAATACTAACATGCTTCTGCTAATACTAACCTGCCATTGTTAATACTAACATGCTTCTGTTAATACTAACCTGCCATTGTTAATACTAACATGCTTCTGCTAATACTAACCTGCCATTGTTAATAGTACTAACATGCTTCTGTTAATACTAACCTTCCATTGTTAATACTAACATGCTTCTGCTAATACTAACCTTCCATTGTTAATACTAACATGCTTCTGTTAATACTAACCTTCCATTGTTAATACTAACATGCTTCTGTTAATACTAACCTGCCATTGTTAATACTAACATGCTTCTGCTAATACTAACCTGCCATTGTTAATACTAACATGCTTCTAATAATACTAACCTGCCATTGTTAATACTAACATGCTTCTGTTAATACTAACCTGCCATTGTTAATACTAACATGCTTCTGCTAATACTAACCTGCCATTGTTAATACTAACATGCTTCTAATAATACTAACCTGCCATTGTTAATACTAACATGCTTCTAATAATACTAACCTGCCATTGTTAATACTAACATGCTTCTAATAATACTAACCTGCCATTGTTAATACTAACATGCTTCTGCTAATACTAACCTGCCATTGTTAATACTAACATGCTTCTGTTAATACTAACCTGCCATTGTTAATACTAATATGCTTCTGTTAATACTAACCTGCCATTGTTAATACTAACATGCTTCTGCTAATACTAACCTGCCATTGTTAATACTAACATGCTTCTGTTAATACTAACCTGCCATTGTTAATACTAACCTTCCATTGTTAATACTAATATGCTTCTGTTAATACTAACCTGCCATTGTTAATACTAACATGCTTCTGCTAATACTAACCTGCCATTGTTAATACTAATATGCATCTGCTAATACTAACCTTCCATTGTTAATACTAACATGCTTCTGCTAATACTAACCTGCCATTGTTAATACTAACATGCTTCTGCTAATACTAACCTGCCATTGTTAATACTAACATGCTTCTAATAATACTAACCTGCCATTGTTAATACTAACATGCTTCTGTTAATACTAACCTGCCATTGTTAATACTAACATGCTTCTGCTAATACTAACCTGCCATTGTTAATACTAACCTTCCATTGTTAATACTAATATGCTTCTGCTAATACTAACCTGCCATTGTTAATACTAACATGCTTCTGCTAATACTAACCTGCCATTGTTAATACTAACATGCTTCTGCTAATACTAACCTGCCATTGTTAATACTAACATGCTTCTGCTAATACTAACCTGCCATTGTTAATACTAACATGCTTCTAATAATACTAACCTGCCATTGTTAATACTAACATGCTTCTGTTAATACTAACCTGCCATTGTTAATACTAACATGCTTCTGCTAATACTAACCTGCCATTGTTAATACTAACATGCTTCTGCTAATACTAACCTGCCATTGTTAATACTAACATGCTTCTAATAATACTAACCTGCCATTGTTAATACTAACATGCTTCTGTTAATACTAACCTACCATTGTTAATACTAACCTTCCATTGTTAATACTAACCTGCCATTGTTAATACTAACCTGCCATTGTTAATACTAACATGCTTCTGCTAATACTAACCTGCCATTGTTAATACTAACATGCTTCTGCTAATACTAACCTGCCATTGTTAATACTAATATGCTTCTGTTAATACTAACCTGCCATTGTTAATACTAACCTTCCATTGTTAATACTAACCTGCCATTGTTAATACTAACCTGCCATTGTTAATACTAACATGCTTCTGCTAATACTAACCTGCCATTGTTAATACTAACATGCTTCTGTTAATACTAACCTGCCATTGTTAATACTAACATGCTTCTGCTAATACTAACCTGCCATTGTTAATACTAACATGCTTCTGCTAATACTAACCTGCCATTGTTAATACTAACATGCTTCTGCTAATACTAACCTGCCATTGTTAATACTAACATGCTTCTGTTAATACTAACCTGCCATTGTTAATACTAACATGCTTCTGCTAATACTAACCTGCCATTGTTAATACTAACATGCTTCTGCTAATACTAACCTGCCATTGTTAATACTAACATGCTTCTGCTAATACTAACCTTCCATTGTTAATACTAACATGCTTCTGTTAATACTAACCTTCCATTGTTAATACTAACATGCTTCTGTTAATACTAACCTGCCATTGTTAATACTAACATGCTTCTGCTAATACTAACCTGCCATTGTTAATACTAACCTTCCATTGTTAATACTAATATGCATCTGCTAATACTAACCTGCCATTGTTAATACTAACATGCTTCTGCTAATACTAACCTGCCATTGTTAATACTAACATGCTTCTGTTAATACTAACCTGCCATTGTTAATACTAACATGCTTCTGCTAATACTAACCTGCCATTGTTAATACTAACCTTCCATTGTTAATACTAACATGCCTCTGCTAATACTAACCTGCCATTGTTAATACTAATATGCTTCTGCTAATACTAACCTGCCATTGTTAATACTAACATGCTTCTGTTAATACTAACCTGCCATTGTTAATACTAACATGCTTCTGCTAATACTAACCTGCCATTGTTAATACTAACATGCCTCTGCTAATACTAACCTGCCATTGTTAATACTAACATGCTTCTGTTAATACTAACCTGCCATTGTTAATACTAACATGCTTCTGTTAATACTAACCTGCCATTGTTAATACTAACATGCTTCTGCTAATACTAACCTGCCATTGTTAATACTAACATGCCTCTGCTAATACTAACCTGCCATTGTTAATACTAACATGCTTCTAATAATACTAACCTGCCATTGTTAATACTAACCTGCCATTGTTAATACTAACATGCCTCTGCTAATACTAACCTGCCATTGTTAATACTAACATGCTTCTGTTAATACTAACCTGCCATTGTTAATACTAACATGCTTCTGTTAATACTAACCTGCCATTGTTAATACTAACCTGCCATTGTTAATACTAACATGCATCTGCTAATACTAACCTGCCATTGTTAATACTAACATGCTTCTGCTAATACTAACCTGCCATTGTTAATACTAACATGCTTCTAATAATACTAACCTGCCATTGTTAATACTAACATGCTTCTGCTAATACTAACCTGCCATTGTTAATACTAACATGCTTCTGCTAATACTAACCTGCCATTGTTAATACTAACATGCTTCTGTTAATACTAACCTGCCATTGTTAATACTAACATGCTTCTGTTAATACTAACCTGCCATTGTTAATACTAACATGCTTCTGTTAATACTAACCTGCCATTGTTAATACTAACATGCTTCTGTTAATACTAACCTGGAAAGCAGTCTATTTTTACATTTCCAGATTCAATGTATCCTGTGTTAGTTTTGAGATACCAATTTTCAAGTGCCGTGGCGTCATTGATCTTCTGCGGACACAAATCACTATAGTCAGTATAGGCTTGGAAGTTTTCAAAATAGTTAGTAGCTACCCTCGGATGTATGACAGGATCGATGACCCATCTAAGGTTGCGTTTATTTGGTTCACGAAGAATATCAAAGTAGTACAGAAATAGTTCGTCTCCGTTCTGAAAGACTGAAACAGAGAATGGCACTATGTATTAACTGACGTCACTAGCAATGTCTAGTCATAACATAGTACATGGTACTACAGTCAGCTATGAAGGTTATTAAGTCGAAACCTTGAGGTGCAAAATTGGGAATGGCTAAAACCAAAATTATGACAAGCCGTCTTACACGTTCCCAAATGGTAGTTAAATAATTGAGAGAACTGACTGCGAGACCATGCCCTAGTCTAACCCACCTTTCTTACTCTAGTAGATCTCTTACCTTTCTTATATACTGAACTTGAGCGGATTTCTTGGGTAGTTACGTCGTATCTGCCGGTTATGTCCAATGGACTTGTTTCCGGAATATTAGTACCATGGACAACGATTGAATTACAAATATCTCGACATAGAACTGTAAAATACAAAAACTCTTCTTCATTTACTAATTTGCAACATCAATTCCTCAATATTTTTCTACATTAAGTTAGGTTTTATGACATAGCATTTAGCTGAAAATAAAAAGAAATAATTTTTTCCAATCATGTACAGTATTTGTCATTTCCTAATTCAAATATTAGTTAAATTCAGTATTATTTACAAGTCTTTTATAAAGATTTGAACTTCTGAGAACTTGCAGATGATTTTGAAAAAAGGTCAATTTGAAGCAAGATGAATCATTGAAGGTCAAATCTTTTTGACTCTAGGCATCGGCATATAAAGTTTGAATCAAATCCGTCAACTAGTATTTGAGTTATCAAAGTTATTTTATGAAAAATGGTGGCCATTTTGAAATTCAGCCGACATCTTGAAGATTCTTTCTTGAATAAATCTACTTGTCCCTAGCCATCATCTTATAAAATTTAAACCAAATCCTTTCACTGGTATTTGAGTTATCAAAGATTACGTGTTTTACGAAAAGTGGCCGCCATTTTGATATTTAGCAGCCATTTTGAAAATCTCTTCTTCAGCACAAATTAAGCGGCCATATTGGAAATTCCTTCTCTAGCAGAGGTTCTACCCCCATAAGGCATAAGCCTATAAAATTTGAATCAAATCCGTCAATCGGTATTTGAGTTATCACTCGGACAAACGGATGGACGGACAAACGGGCGGACGGACGGCTTTCCTATATCCCTGTCGAACTTTGTTCGGTGGGGTAATTAAAATACTAACCAGTACTACTAATTGGTGTTAAAGGAAGAACATTTGATGCAAATTCCCCTTGGGAATTTCCTGGTTCTTTGTACTGGCATACCACGACAGTGTGGTACCAACCATCATCGGACTGGTACTTGGCCTCCCCACATCCAACTTCTAGAGAACCAACCCATACAACCTACAAAACCAGAGATACCTACAAAAAACCCAGTGCTCAAGCTATGGGATGGCTCATTGGTTACCGCCGAGTTAATGAGTTCTAAAGAAACCCCACCGTGAGAATTCACATCCTCCGGTGTACAGAATCCGTACCTCCTTGTAAAAAGAAGGAAGATATTCTGGATGTTGAAGCCCTGTGATCGGAGGATGGAGAATTCATGGCCTTTTTTAGATTCGAATTCTTTCTAGAGTATAATAGTTGAAGGCAAAAAGATGTGATGAGTATCACAATGAAGAAACCCCAGCAAGGGGATAGTTTTAAGTTTTGTAAGTAAGACTGTAAATTAGTGGAACATATTTTAGCAGAACCAAAGCTGTTAAATATATGCACACGTTTAAAATGGGCCTCGAACCGAATTAATATGTTCGAAAAACATCTCTACAAATAAAACAGATGAACAAATTCCATTTCACTGTAAATGCTTATATTACATATCCTTACTTGTGTAAAATGTCCAGTGGCCAAAGAGAAACCTGGATTGTTATAGTCATAATCACTGATTTCATTATACCTGAAACATTTAAACAATCGCATAATATCACTTATTAATGATCCTAGATAACACCTTGCTACTACAGTCTCATGTAGAGGCTAGCCCTTATGTCTCGGGGGTAGAGCTTCGGTCACTGGAGGGGAAAGTCCTGTATTCGATAATGCACGGGGCATTCAATTAGCACACTCCCTTTTATGTCCAGTATCTCGGGGAGAATAAAAGGTCTATAATAATCATGAAATTTTTGACAAAATCAAACATTTTGTTTTGCCAACTACAGATGACAATCTGACAGAACAGGGTGAACCAAGGGGAAATGCAAACTCTGTCGCAACCAATTTGAGAGATAAGGAAATCAAAAATATTTTATTTTGTTCGGATTTTGTCAACCCTCTGATCTATAGTAATAAACCTCATGCTGCTGTTATATTTACCAAAAGGATTTTGTAACTGTGTTATTGTTACATATTGAATTACACCAATCTTTGATACAACATAGTAGTCGGGACAGGGCAAGTCATCCAACTTTTTCCTGATAAATTTTTCAATTCTCATTCATTTTTCATGAAATTTACACTGGGTGAATTTAAAAGAATTCCTAACACAAGTTTTTTTATTTAACTCATAATCATGTTCCTTATAATTACAGTTTTCCAAAAATGATGGTCACTCATATTCTGCTAAGGTACCAATTTTGCGTGTTTTGTTTGAAAATGATGAATGATCTTATTTTTCTTTCTGTAATACAAGGAGGATTGGCTCCCAGAGTGCACCACCGATATTCTGTCCCATATATGGGTATGTCGTAATACAAAATTCGAATTCAAACAGCCGCCATTTTGTTCACTTCAACATTTAAATCGTGAATTTTGGTCTTATTTCCAAACGAAAAATTCCAAAACTCACAAGAAATGATCGAGATATTGGTTCGAATCTTTTGAACTGTTTATTTTGAATTTATAGTCGGGTTTAATTTCAGAAAATAACGACATTTCGACGTTTTCATTGTTGGAAAATATCGAGTTTTGATCCTGGGAGCCAATCCTCCTTGCTGTAATAGGTATTGTTCACCACATGACCTTATTTATAATGCAAATTGAATTTAGACTCGACTAGACATATGTCTACCTCGGGCACTTGGGAACAAAATTCATTGTCATCATCCTGCTGTTTGACATTTAGTATGTCCCATGTTTTACTTGGACACCAATTTAAACATCATATCAGATATGAATTGAATATGCCTCGTTTATGATATTTGATGCCAGCGTAATTTATAAATTGTTTCCAGAATTTTGACCAACTTTGGCATCCATAATATATGCTTTTCGTTCAATAGAAAACATTTCATCATCTACACAAAGAGATTAGAGAAGAAATTGAAATATTTTAGGGTCAGGGGTAAGGAGCAGAATAGAAAGACATTAGATTGCACAACATATATTTAATTGATTTCTATGTGGAATGATCTTGAAAGTGTTGCTTTTCAAAACTTTATCTAATTTTAGGAAACAACGCCTGATAGGAATGGTCATTCTACAATGCATTGTGTATTGGGCATAAATCATTTTCACACATTGCAAAATATTTTATATAATATCATTAAAAAGATAATGAAACATGAAACAACGCCTGATAGGAATGGTCATTCTACAATGCATTGTGTATTGGGCATATAAATTATTTTCACACATTACAAAATATTTTACATAATATCATTGAAACGATAATGGCTTAAAAGAATAAATTATCAAGTAAATTTTTTGCAATGGTCAATTTGTCACTTCTGTTTGTGTCAGTCGGTATCATTGATTCTGACCACGACCACCATACAAAGCTTAATATTTGACCTGCATAAGCACGTAGCTTGTTATTCCCTATGATACTATTTATAGGATTTTCTAAAATATGATCTTATCAGTTTATCGGTTCCATTTGTTTAAATAGAATCTAGAATAAGTGACCACGGGTGAATTGTTGGTTATATAATAGCATGCAGTTATTTGATATAGTGTATTCGGATTGGTTGGAATCGGACGCGCATTGCCTAGAAATGTGTGAATATTTCATTATTCCATTTTAACTAATAAATTATGTGAAATAGATTAAATTCAAGTGTAAAAAGTCACGCACATAAGCCGGTACATGAGCTAGCACTCAAAATCAATCACTGCTAGAAATGTCCTCCATTTCCAACAAAACGGTCCCTTAACAGAAGTTGGCCATCATTTTTAAAAAAGCTGTAATTATAATGAAAATTGATTATAACTTTAACAAAATATTTTGTATGTTAGGAATGGTTATTAAAGTTTATCTAGTGAAAAATGAAAAATTATTAAGAATTGAAAAAGTCAGGAAAAATTACTTGTTCTGTCCCGACTACTAGTCTTATCCTTCAACGTGCATAGCGCTGGACAGATCTCTGTTCAGCCATTTTATGGTCAATAACCATGGTACTTGGCATATATCTTCTCTTAATCCGAGGTAACCTTAATTAAATCAAATATTTCCATGGAAGATCTGTTTTGTACTGACTGCTATATTTACCAGGCCTGGGTTGCATCATCGCAGTAGTCACCGGTGAAAGCTGATCCAGTTTTGCTCCCCTTATAGAGATTCTCTCCCAAGCCAGGTAAGTTCGAATGCTCAAAGGCATCCCTAGCGGCAAGGTCATCAGCGACTGCCTGCGCCGACAGTGCAATTGTATCACTGTACGTTATCGATGGGGTACCTTGGTGCAGCATTCTCAAAGCATTGTGTTTGTTGAGACAGTCAGCCTTGAAGTCTACAAATAAAAAAACAGAAAACTAGAAAAAACAACACCACGGAATAGCAAAGGACGATTCTCGGTTTGGAGAACGAAGTTCATCAATCTAAATGAGCATTATCGCTGCTTCGGACAAATTTGATTTTTTTCCATAACATAGATTTAAATGTCTTCTTTTGAATAGTCATAATTCAATTTGGGTAATATTTCTAAATTTTTCGCAAAAAATATTATCGCAGTACACTGATGAACTTCTTTCCCCAAATCGAGACTTGTATTTTATTGAATCGGTCGATTTAAGTGTCCTCTTTTGAATATTCATAGTTTAATTTGGGTAATATTTCTATATTTTTCATGAAAAAAATTATTAGCCCAGGAGACTGTTCTATACTTTCTTGTAAAATCTGTATCATTTCAAGGTGACATTACACGATTGATATAACCAATAAAACTTCTTGAAAAATCTTTTGAATTCTTTCTCGAGCAGAGGTCTTATGGCCTTTAAGGTATTATAGTTATATATCATTATTAGTTGTATAATTTGGACCAAATCTGGTTACTCATTGGTATTTGCGTTATCAGTAAAATCATCATTTTCCCAAAAATATGGCGGCCATTTTGAATTAAACATTTCTTTTTGACTGAGTTCTATGTCAATAAGGCACCTACGGCTTAAAATCCGAATCTGACGATTGGTATTTTAGTTAGGCCTATAGAAAATTTATTCTTAAACAGATTTCTATGACAATATGGCATCAGCATATATATTTTGAACCAAATAGTCAACTTACTGGTATTTGAGTTATCAAAGATTAGAATTAGATGGTGGCCATATTTGAACTAAGTGGTCATATTGGAAATGCCTACTTTTAAAACCAACAGTCCTTTGCCAAAGCTATTAATTAGCCCAAAAATTCGAAAAATGCTATATGGTATTCTATATGGTATTCTATATGCTATATGGTATTCAAGTTATTAAAATTTACATTTTTTCATGAAAAATGACAATCATTTTGAATTGAACGGCCATCTAGGAAAAACAGAACCCCTTTTCTCTAAAGCTTCAGCATATAACAGTTGAACTAAATCCGTCAACTGGTATAAATTTGAGTTTATCATGGGCTTTCAACTACTAATTAAAAGCCCATGAGTTTATCAAAGATTGATCTTTTTTTATAAAAATGACCTCATTTTGAAATAAGCTGTCGTATTGAAAATGGCTTCTTTAGCAGAAATCGTTTGATCATGTAAGACATTAACCTAAAATGGACTGTTTTTGATTTGGTGATCTGGAAAAATTAAACATCGTTAATGCAATGGTAACAATTTAATTTGAAAAAAATATTTATACCTCGTACATGTAAATGATACTTGTCTTTCTTATAATTTGCTGGAAGCTAGTCCAAATCATAATACGTTGGGCAATTTCCTAACTTAAAATTACACATACATTGCAATAACTGAACCCATCAATAAACACTATATTGTCAATGGGACGAAAATCTAAATGTGTGTTTACTGATTTTTTCTCTTGATAAAATAATATATTCATTAATTATTTTACAATCGTGACACGTTTTTCGAAATATTTTAGATTTGACATGGCCATTTTTCATGGAACTGCCATGGCTAATTACAAACGCCATCAATTTGTTGACACCGGTCGAAAAAAACAATAAACAAGAAAAAACAATATGTTGCCACGTACTTGTGATGACATAATAGGGACGTTAAGCTATACGTTTTAAGGGAACTTGTACGCGAACGTGTAGAATTGTAGTCCACTAGGAATTTGTTCTCCTCTTCTTTAATTTACTTGCTCTGAGTCCCTGGCATAACCATTCGGAATGGGGACAATAATTCCTGAGGTTTATTGTTACACGTTTATGCTCTCTTAAAAACGTGTGGCTTATTCTCCCTAAATAAAAAAGTGATTTAAATTAAAACGGTACCTGCATGGGCATCCTTTACAATGACTAACACCACAACAGCACTAAGTCCGTAAAACCACTGTGTGTTCAGCTTCATATTCCGTAGACTCTTACTATCACTGACTCCAGCCTGGCGTCCGGACTCTTTCTTAATGCTTATTTTTTTACGACGAGTCTACTTCTACAGACTATACAGAAACGAAAGTTTAGTTCGTCATTCCCTCCCAGTTGTGCTACGTTTATTACACGCATGATTTCCCAATAATAATACCCAATGCTAGGTTATAATTGATTTAACGAGTAATATCAGTTTTTAAAATTTTTAAAGTCATATACAGGATGATCCAAAACAACAGAATCCTACAGAAGTGTAAAAACAACAGGGCCAATAATGCTTCGGCGTAGGCCCTGTATCTGTTTGTATGATGTATTATGAAATAAAGGAAATATAAAAATTTAAAAAAAACAAAAAAAAAACAGAATCCTCCAGAAGTGTAAAAACAACAGAATCCTCCAGAAGTGTAATGATTTTTATCAACTTTATTTTCATGTTAAGAAACCACAATCTGTGAATGACAATGTGACACTAAATATATTTTTCATTATCACCTTGCCAGGCCGGGACAAATCAATATATGTGCCCATTTTTGTCCTAAAAATATAAAGGAACGCGAGCTGCTTGTAAAATAAATCGGGAGAGTTCTTTCATTCATTTCATTTTCATCTAGAAAACACCATACTTTAAAACATTTTATTAACTATAATCAGCACCATATAATCCCCAAAAATATTTCTCATTTTCCAGGATTATGTATGGATTAACACCCAGGTATTATTTTTCAAACTTCAGAGGGCTGGGAATCATTGATAATCAACGCCTTTGAATAATACAAATGCTGTTTTAAATAGGTCTCATATTTGCCAACAATTTCTCAAATTATGTAAACTGAACACATTTTTTAATCCCTAGAATATGCTCTAGGAGGAATTTCACATAGAAATCCAATGGTACAGTTCAAAGCAGATTTCGAGATAAAAGGGATGTAAATCGTTAATACGAACTCTTTGGGTTGTTTTGTATTAAATCGCAACCCTTTGGACAGTTTTAGGCGGGTCACCTTGTATATGGATATATATCACATTCAACGTCAATCAACAAATCAACTGTCAAATTAATATTTCAGGCATATGACAGATCGCAATCGTATTTTTGAAACTCATGTTGTATTGCTCAGTCTTTTACGTCATAATATTTATGCACAAATGAAATCGTATACTAAAATAGTATGGAATACTAAAATAGTATGACACAAGGACTAGCCCTGAAATCCTCATACTAAACACTTCATTAGTGTTTTAATGTATATAGATACCATCAATCAAGGAATGGTGTAAAATTTGAAAGCTTGTACAATTGCTGATCTAGTAAGCAGCAAGACAAGAGTTAAATTTTAAAGCATTTATACCTCTCAGATTGTTTAGGACAATTCATATTGATTACTATATGGACGAAACTAAGGCTATGATATTTTGAGAAAATAAGGTTTAAATATCAAAGCCCATCGATGGTTTAAGTGAGAGTATGAATTATTCGGAACATTTTAGAATAATTTAGAATCAGTAAGAAACAATCGTTTCAAGTTTAGGCTATTTTCGATCATGTATATTTAAAGTTAAAGGTGTAATGTCTGATAAAAGCACAATACAGGAGTTTAGCCTAGCTAAATAGTTGAAAATACTCTATAAACAGCCAATAGATGTCTAGCCCATTTTCAGGAAAAGAATCTTAGGCCTAAAGCAGTTCCCCATTGAACCAACATGTAAAACATCACATTTATACTATGATTTTAACATCATAATGCTACCATTTCTGTTTCTTCATTCATTCAGAAAATCAACAGATCATTGGTATGAAGTTTTTTAGTCTTTTAAAACAACATAAATAATGGAAAATAAAGATGAATAATGGCTATTTTGTTTAAAATATTTGGCTTGATGTTGGTCAGCTTACATCACCAAAATGACCTGGGGTCAATAAGTTTATTTAGCCACCAGTAAGATACTGCTTGTTTAAATGCAGCTTGAATTACAATGTTTACTATTGTCCACATACTGATACAGGATAAAAGGTTAAGTTAACTAGATATTAGAGATCATTCAGATATTTGATGCAGGATGTGAGAGTTTACATTCAGACATAGTTTTATAACTAATCCCAAATAATTTATTCGCAGACTCAGAAACTGATCCAATGTGCCAACTACACTTATATTTGACATCATTGAAAATGTTTCTAAAGTTTTTTCTCCAGACATTTTTATTAACGAATACTACACAATGTAATTATAGATGTTAGATATCTTCTACTTTCAGAAGAAATACTAAGAAGAAAGTAGATTAACTAATTCACATGTAATGTATGGCCCTGTAGTGACCCTTGACCAATTAGTAATTTTCCAGTTATGTAACAGTTGGAAAAGATATATCGTTGATGTCTTTAAATAGATAACAATCTTATCATGACCTATGGCCCAAGAATTTTTTTAAATAAAAAAGGGTGAAAAATCTAGAGAATCCCCATACCTTCTATGTTATCATTTCCTGAATTTTTATCATATGACTGCCATCTATAAATGGAATTAGCTTAGGCTAAAAGGGCTTATGAGAGTAACACCCTGATGTTTTGGCTCTAAAAGATGTATAAGGAGTTGGTCTATCAATTTACCAACTTTGAGACCTTACCTAATTCGTAACGAGATCAATTTAATGATTGTTCTTGGATATTACTTTTCTACTGGCTAGAAATAAAGTCTAAATGGAATTGAAATGTCTTTTTTTCATTTTTGAACCAAAACACATTTCTGGTTATCTTTCCACATAACACTTAGTTATATTTAATAGTTTCAAGGGTTTCATAATATAGATTAAACAGTTGTATGTTGATTTGGACTTATTGTGTTTTATCCGACAGTTGGTTGTTCTATTGATTTTCTCAATATATCGGTGATACTGTGCCCTCAATATGTTCTCAAGATATATCTTAGGTATGTAAGATAGCCTATCATATGAGCAATTATAATGGGACTTCAATAAATGATTGTCTGGGGGACATGACAGACCTCTAGAGGCGACATTGTCCCTTTCTAGGATTCTATCGCTGCTGTCTTCTTTCTTTTGGTTTAAAACCTATGGCTTTAACTGCAAAAGCCAGGCAAATGTGGCAAGGCTTGGAAACATTTTTCGCCTCATCGCTTTTTTCTTACATGTATGCCTATTTCCTTATTTTTTACGGAAAGCCGCATCCTTATCAAATATTAGTGAGTGAGAAATGTTTTGTAGGCAATCCTCAAGTTGTTGAGAAACTTACTAAAGAAATTTGGATAATTGAGAAGGGAACCATTTGCTTGAAATATCAGCATTTCCTGGAGTTACCATTGACCTCTTGCCGGGTCAACAAAAAAGACAACGCAATGATTCCTGAAAGGGAGGAAATACACACATACCTTCAAACTTCATTTTGTACCAGAAAATAACATGGGCATGTTTCAAGCCTATACCAATTTTTCCAAAAATGTTTTCCTGAACCCATAGGCCATGAATCGAAGTGAGCTAGAAATGTTTTGTAGGCAATTCTCAGTTTGTTGAGAAACGTATTGAGAAGTTCCTGTCTATTTATATGTGAATGTAAATAACTACATGAGTGATCAAGGAGCTTAGTTACCAATAATAAACCACATTTAAACAACAGTATTAGCATTATGTTTGGCATTTCAATTTTTTATTCTTGAAAACCACAATGTTTGTATTGATGTCACACCTCATAATGCTATTTCTTGTTGTGAGTATCCTTGGGCAGCTTGAGTCCCACTGCAAAATATTGTACATATGTTTCAACTTTTACTTTCTTATGCTATAATCACCATTCTCACTATGAAGTTTTTAAAGGGAAACTAACAAACAGTTTGATTGATAGAGGGGGGGGGGGGCTATAATCCATGTTATTCTTACTTCAGTAATGACCAATGTTTTGGTATTACCTTATGCCGTTTAAACCTGCTGGTTGTCATATTTAAAGGTCAATATCTGGATCTGTTTCTGTTTACAATCTACTGACCATGGGAATACATATTCAAGTACACAGTTTTATATTTATTCTATCATACATGCATTTCAAAATCCAACTGTACATAAATATATACTTAATCAACTCTGTCATGGTTTCTCACAGCTGACTATGGTACTATATTCTAAAGTTTGATGGGGGGGGGGGGGGTATCAAATATCAAATTAGATAGACCAAATGTTCAGGTATTGTACAATACTTTGTACTCATGGTACGTTCACAACAACGGCGCTTTGATGGCGCTTTAAAGCGGCTTGTAAAGCGGCACCAAAGCGTAACAAAGCTTAATTAAAGCGTCGGGGTCGTAATAGGTCGTAGTAAAGCTCGGGAGTAAAGCGGGATATTCGGCAAGAGCGCTAAAAAATTTAAACTGTTAAAGCGTTCGCACCAACGGCGCTTTGATGGCGCTTTAAAGCGGATTGTAAAGCGGCACCAAAGCGTAACAAAGCTTGATTAAAGCGTCGGGATCGTAATAGGTCGTAGAAAAGTTCGGAGTAAAGCGGGATATTCGGCAAGAGCGCCAATAAATGTTAAACTGTTTAAAAAATTTGGGCGCTCTGTTACGAATTGATTGAAGCGCCGAGAGCGTATCAAAGCTTAACAAACCGTAACAAAGCTCAACAAAGCTTGACTCAAAGCGTAGGAAAGCTTAAAACAGCTTGGTTCAAAGCGGGGACCCCAGTCTATTCACGGTCTGTTACCACTTGACACGCTTCGTTAAGATGTCTCAATATTTGCTACGATCTGGCATGAAGATCTGACACGAGGTCAGACGCTTTCATCAATATCTGACACTCTTTGTTACACTTTCCTGAGGGACTCTCAAGCTTTCCAACGAATTGAGACGCTTTAATCAAGGATTGAAACGCTTTGCTAGGCTTTGTTACGCTTGAAAGTTTTCACACGCTATATCACGCCGTGCGACAAACGTCATGTCTTCTTCAGATAGGTCATGCTCTGGTCCATCTGGAATTTCTGGATCTCGTTGTTCTGCCATCGTGTTCTCGAGTCAAAGATGCAATGGTTTTATGGATCTACTGCATCTTTATATAGTCATTGGATCAAAAGCGGCATGGAATCGGCGATCTCGACA